CAGCGGGAGGCCTACCGTTTCAAGGACAAGGGTTTGTGTAAGAAGGAATTTCGAGCTATGAGGTGGAAAATATGACTTGAATTGAATAGCGCTTCAGGTCAAACTGCATATGCTTCTTCTTTGGGCAATTAACTGTGAGAAGGAATTTGAGACACATACTGGCCAAAGAGGAGTTAGGCCCTTTACAGCATTGTGGCGTTCGCATCAGCATAGGCACCGCTGATAACTGGTGATGCTGGTCATGATGGTCGGGGATGTTTGTCGTACTTAGGACTGATTCTAGGATGCACAAGCTCCACAAAACTGATGCGCAAGCGCATACTCCCAGCTAATTCACGAGCGGCTTCCTGCAAGATTCGGCAGCAACTGCTGGCAGGTGTTTGAATACGAAGATCAAAAACGGCGAGTTGGACTACTTCCATTGGAAGCCTTCTGTCTGGCTAGCTGCTTGTGCGGGCTGACTGGCTCACTGGCTTGGTAAACAGCAACTCGCAAGCCCGGCACACGGCAGGGCGTCAGCATCAAACATGCTGCAACTGCCGTCACAAGCTGTACCACTGTCCGGGATCCCCTTCAAACAGCACACATACTGCCAAATGCCCAATAAACCAATAGGTGTTGCAGGCGCAAATATGTCGAGACCAGCTCTGCGCGAACACCTGGCCTCCTTGCCGTTGGGGCCGGCAGCTGCGTCTGGCAGGACGTCCACTAGACGCCTGACGGCCACATTACACAGGTCTCTGAAACAAATTCATCAGAAGTGGCCCCACAGAACAGGAGCCAAGAGGTTGGAGAACCCCAAGACCCGGCATTGCAAGGCGCAAGCACATCAATGGCCCAAAACTCAAACCGAAAGTGTCTGGCAGGGGCATCGCGCCTAAGGCATTGGTACAGCCCCCGCAGGAGCTTTTCCAAGCCTGACGGAGCAAGCGTTGGAACCTCACAGTGTGGTAGTGAAATCAAGTGAAGGTAGAGGAGAGCCCATCGATGTTGCCACATAGGACAATATTCTGAAACAAGCACAAGAACGAGCAGAGGCTTTGCTAAGCAGCTCGTCTGCGGCCATTAGCTCGCTTGAGGAGCTACGCTTGCTTGAGGAGATGCTTGGCAACGATGCCAAACTTGGAAGCTTGCCTGTATGTCGCCGTTTATGCGGAGCTGTAGTACGAAAGCGGTGATTTTCACAAAGGAATCATCCAGGTGGCGCCTCGCAAAAACCCGATAAATTATTTTCGCACAGGCTGAACTCAGGGGATTATTCGGTCAGCACCTAAGCTGGCCTCGTTGCTTGGATCTGGTGGTCTACCTGCGGGTTATCTGCCTTCCGGCATCCGCTTGCTAGAAGCCGGTGACGCCTAAAATCCACTGGAGCTGGACAACATATGGCTGGCAATCGGCTTGTCGAAAACTTCACTGGCATCATCAGGCAGGGGTGCTGGAGCTGAGTCAGGAAACAAGTTGGCTCAAGTTAGGAAGCGAAGGAGGGAGCGTCCAGAAACACAGGGTCGTGTTGAGGGAACAAAGTTCAGTGAGTCCGGAAACGCCGTTACCTGTCAGCTCCGAGAAATATAAGATCCAACCAAACCTTTCCTGACTCAAATGTCCTCTTTCTTGGCTCGGGTGTTATGTTATTGTCTAAATCTCTGTCACTTGGTTTCCTGACACGCCTCTAGCCATTTCCTCACTCACATTTCCTGACAACATGGTCTTTTGGGTGTAGTCTCACTCTGGCATTCTAGTTAGTTTGAAGGCCGCTTGTCTGGATCTATTTCGGAGATGACAATTCAAAACAAGGTAGTGCACTTGTGCTGTGGGCGGGGGGAACACACAAGACTTGAAACGCCTATCTCGCCTGCACATCTTTACGTCTTGGGGCATGCATGAGAGTGCTCCTTGTGGATCAAACTGACAATGCACAGGCATCAGTGCAAGTTGCTTCTCGCAATCCATGTGTGCCACTTTCACACCATGACCAATATTTCCGACTTCACATCAGCTCAAAGGCCCGGGCTATTCGCATCGAGGCCCTTCAGCCGCCGCCGCTTGGGTGCCCTTGCCTGGCTTTGCAGCTCCGTCGAATCCAGGCCACAAAGACACGTGGACAAACGATGGAGTCGTTGCACCGTGGAGAGTCATTTGGCCATGGGTCAAAACCCAAATCGTAGCCCCAGTGAACATCCCAATCCAACCGCTAAAATAGGTCCTAAAATGGGTGGTGCACCGAAACCCCCAAAATGGGCTCCGATTGGTTTTGAACCATGGCCATTTGCACCAGCCGTTAAACGCATCCAACGTCCGTGCCTCTGGCACAGCATCGGGTGCGGGGTGTGGAGGCATGTCAGGCATCATCTGGCCAGGCTCGGCGTGCAAACGCATCGACGAATGATGGCACAAGAAAATCCACACTGGAAAAGAGCAATATGGCCATGGGTTGCATAACCTATGGCGATCCCATTTTGGGGTGGATGAACATCCATTTGCCACCTATTATGTTGTTTGCCAGGGGTACATGCTTTTGACCCACAGCCATATGACATCACACAGTTTGCATCATAAAATATCATCACATGCGAGGTTTTTGTCAGCAGCAAGCAATTCTTGTTAACTTAGGCAGCGCCACCGGTATCATACCAGGAGGCCCGTGCATGGGCGGCATCATGGGCGGGCCGTGAGGCATCGGATGTCCTGCGTGGGTCTCGACGGCTCGAGACACGTCATCGGCACTTTGGAACGGTGGACTGAATCAGCAGAAGCTTCGACACTTCTCCAAATATTTTCAGGATGCGAATAACGACGCTCAACAAAAGAAAGCCAAAAATTACCATGCCGGGACGTGCTGAGCAAGCTATGTCATTGCGACGGTCCAGGCATGGCAGCCATGGCAGCCGCATCTGCCATGACCGCCGCTGCTGCTGCTGCCGGGTCCTCGTGAGCATCCTACTGCCCAGCAATTACAGAAACAGGAGGATCTTTGCAGTGTAGCAACTTCGTGGGCTTTGCCATAGGGAACGCTTACATGAGCAATGACAAACTCAATAGACTTGCAAATACAGGAGCCAGCCTCCATGATGCCGTCGCGAGCGGCTGTCACCGACACTACCAGGGCTTAGCAATCTCTTGGAAGGCCGTCAATTGGTGGCTGAGATGTGGAGGTGTGCTTGCTGCAAGCTCTTGCAGAGGCGCACTTGATCAGTCGTTTGCGATGCATTGCGTGGAACATGCTCTATGCTTCCCCCATCTGAGCAGCTGAGCAAATGAGCCGGCAAAACCCAAACAAACAAAGACCTCCCCATGCGATTTCGCACCCTCGCAGCAACCTCGCTCCGAGTTTGCATGGGGGTGATTGACCAGCCTCCAGCCTCTCAAAAGCTTGGTTGCTGTTGACCCCCTGCAAAAAGTTTCACTTTTGGGGGGTTTAGTGGAAAACCCCTTGCTTTCCCAAAAAGTTAAAGTCCAAAGATCCAACCCAATAGCAGGCAAAAAAAGGGTCCCGTCACTGGGCCCAGGGGTCCCCAAGTCCATGCAAGTGACTGCTCAGCCGCACGTCAGCTTTGCTGGGTGACTTGGCATCGCTGCGCCAGCGGCCCACGTATATCTCACACCTCAGATGTGTGAAAGTCTGTGGTGACGCTTGCGCTCATGGTTTTCCAAACGTGTTGGTTTGCACCTCTGAGGGATGAACGATCCATGCTCGGCTGTCTCGAAATCCACTCGGACAGCCTGAGAGTTTTGGAACGAACTAGCAAGACAAGTAGCACCTTGGACCTTCCGCAAATCGTGGACCTTCCTTGCCATTGGAGAAAGTAGAGTGTCCATCAACGGCAACAAGCGAGCCTGCAGATTGGGCAGAATAACGTCCTGAGGGTCAATGAACTCAAGTCTACGGGCAGAGGAAATGGCCAGGCCATGGAAAGTGAATGGCAAGGCAATGGCACATCAATGGGAAGGCAGGGTGCTCTGAGAAGAGTCGTGCTTCGTAGTCACTCAATGTTGCAAAAGCATAGCGATGACAGTCCTCGACATAAAGGCGATCGGCTGGCGTGCGCTCACGGTATGCCAGCACAAGGACGGTATGCTCTGGCACCATCAGCTCCTTGCGCCGCTTGTGCGAAGAAAATGCTTGCATCCCGCAATGCAAATCTCTGAGCCTTGAGCGCGTCGACCAGGGGATCTTGCTCTTCAAAGTACACCACATCTGCGGCCAGGATGATATCCTCCAAGCCATGAAACTTTGCCTCCGTGCGAAAGTAAGTTGTGCATCACATGCTGACAAGGTGCCAAAGGCACACCATCCCTCGTTGCCAGGTCAGACCTTGCCAAGAACTTGCAATTGGAACTTGACTTGTCAGTTCTTTCAAAGAACAAAATACATGGCTGTCAACCTCTTTCCCTTGGATTCTTGTCTTCACACAGTTTGCCAAGTCAAGCCTTCGTGCCAAATGCATACCTCATCCATCAATCAACAAGCCAACAACACCTTTTGCACATGCCGCGCTGATTTTAAAACTGCCGCGTTGACCCAGCCATGCCTCCCCTGGTCGCCTACACTTGCCCCTTGCCCTGCCCAAGCGTGGTCACCTCCGGAAGTTGCAGGGATGCCGACAAGCAGCCCAGCGGCCAGCTGCCAGTCAAAGGCTTCGGCGTGGCAGTTGCCTCAAAGAACCAAGCGGAGGGCCAGTCAGTTTGCCCGCGAATGGGCGCTGAACGAGTTCTCAAACGTGCATGGCTCCATGAAATGCCGCATGTTGCACATGTTTTGCTCAAGCAGTCGGGTAGCCCTCAGCACAAGTTGTTCTCGGTCTCGGCTCATGTCCACCAAGGAAGAAGTGATGCACGCTGGTTCCGGAGAAGAGCCATTTTCAGCATAGGACGGCACAAAAGGAGAGCACGAAAAAAACAACCAGCCAGGACCGGCCACGTAAGGTGACACATTTGAAAGCACGAAAAGCGAGAGAAGAAGAGGCGCCAAGTCGACACTAGCCACTGTACCACCCATCTTCCATGGCTGCAAAAATTATGCAGCAATACGTGTTGGGACTGGGAGAAGTGTTGCGGGCAAGAACTGGAACGCAACACCTGGCCAAGGACTTGCCATTCAGTGCTAGCGCATCCGCCGAAAAAGAAGGCTGTTCAGTGCAGTCCCTCAGCATGCGGCGGCAACACAACTGCCCTCAGAAACACTCAGTAGTCTATTCTGTCATAGCTGTCTTGTGACAACTCAGCATGCGCTGAGTGAAAAGTGTGCAATCACCTGAGGCTGCAATTCATTGACTGTCCGATGCAACAAGCTCTGCAAGGCTTAGCTAATCCTGTAGTCAAACTACGATGTGGAAATGAGAGATCCTTGATCCTCGCAACAGGCTGTGTGGCAAGTGACCGGGGAGTGAAGAATAAGCTCAGGTGATATCCCCAACAGCATGTGGAACCCTGGTGGAACCCTGGTGGAACCCTGGTGGAACCCTGGTGGAACCCTGGTGGAACCCTGGTGGAACCCTGGTGGAACCCTGGTGGAACCCTGGTGGAACCCTCGTGGAACCCTCGTGGAACCCTCGTGGAACCCTCGTGGAACCTTACCTCCGGGCCGCCCCGGACCACCCCGGAGCCTATCTGGGCTGAGACCCCAAAGCTTTCAGCTGTTGGGGAAAAAAGCATCCGAACAAACACGTCTGCTTTGCCCATGAGCACTGCATCCCAACAAGCAACTCCTCTGCAACCGTGCGGCTGAGGCCATTGTGGAGGATGTTGCGCTGCAGCAGCGGCACCAGCTCGTCGTAATCCGTGAGCAGCACCTGGTGGCTCAGGGACAGACGCATGAAGGAGTCCTGGAACTCTGAAGGGCAAAAGTTGTGGGATCCACCTACCTCAAGGGGTAGGCCCAATTCCAATTTCCTACTTCCCCCTTAAAAATAAGCTCGGGTGATATCCCCAACAGCATGTGGTGCTCCTTTTGGTGCTCGCACCACCACGCAGCCCTCGCAGAACCTCGTGGAACCCTCGTGGATCCCTGGTACCCTGGTGGAACCCGTGTGGAACCTTACCTCAGAGTCGCCCCGAACCACCCCGGAGCCTATCTGGGCTGAGACCCCAAAGCTTTCAGCTGTTGGGGAAAAAGGAGGATGGAGCCATAAATGGAGTTCCAGGGGTCGCCTCCCTCCCCTCATTCCAGGTTTACGGGGCTGGGGATCTTGCGGGAGACTCCGGAGTAGCGTTTTCAGATTCGGTGAAGCCGAGAAAACCGGTGCAGCATTTCTCTAGCTATGGGTCCACCACAGCCTTCGTCTCGCTCGTCTGGGGACCAGACAGGAGTCAAATCAGGGATCCTTACATGACAACACCTGAACATTGCCTTGTAAATTGCGGGAAACCCCTTTTGTTTTGCTGGAAAAAGCAACATGGTTCAATTGGTTGCAAAATGTACCTTTTTAAGGAGCCCTGTTGCAGCATGTGGCTTAAATATAAATTGCGAAACATGTCCGCCTGCAAAATGCAGCTTGTAGTACCAAGTAGCATTCAGGCTGGGACAGTTGCTTGCGGTGGTTTGAGTCGCCGACATTTGGTTCAGGAGGCTTCCTGAAAGCAAATCCGGCAAGCCCGGAGCCTGGGCACTATGACCCGGACTCCGTCCTCTTAGTGCACCTGTCAAACATCGGCTGAAGCTTCAGCGCTTATTCTTGTTGCTCAAAGCTTTCGAGTTTTGTCAAACTCAAAGCAGGCGAAAAGGGGACGTGAGCAAAACTAGGGCAAGCAGAACGACAGACTGGACTCCGCAGCAATCGCCTGCCAAGGCAACAGAAACCTGCCAATGCACCACGCGGATTTGTTGCAGTTCAGCGCACTTTGTATGCCGGCTTGTGTATATATGACATATGTTTTTTTGTTCACGCGATTTCGAAGATGACGGCGGCAGTGACTTGCAGGCTTTGGCAGTGGAAGCACCAGGTGGTCGATGAAACCAGTTTTGCCTCTCGTCAGGGACGACGGCTGATACGCTTCGAACCTTTCGACGCTGAAGCTGGCGGAAGCTCCACCACCCGACAAGTCAGTGAAAGATCTCACATTTAATCAAAGCGGATCCATCCAAAGACCTTCTCTCCAAATGACTTGAGGCTTGAGGGAAACGCCGACTCTCGGATCAATTGCTTTCTCAATGTGTGCACCGTGCCCTGCCACCCACGCGCTCACATTGAACATGTGCACATGCATGAAATATTGGAAATCGGTGAGGTGTCGTACGCTTGGATTCGGATCGCTGGACGATTTGGCGCAGGTACACATTTGCTGCCAGGATCGTGCCGAAGACAACATAAACCAAACAAGGCAAAAGCCCTGCTGTTGGCTTGGCTTGCGTCACTTGGTGCCCCCAGTTCCGGCCCCGGCCGCAGTTCCGACCCCGGCGGCCCCGCCTGCGTGGCACCCAACTTGGCGGCGGCGAGGCCCGGCAAACCGGGGCCCGCGCCCAGCTCCGCCACGCGGCGGCCACCCACGCTGGGCAGACCCGCCAGGCCTGGCGCTTGACTCGGGCACTCGGCTCGACTCGGTGGCGATGGCATGTGGCTCCGAATTTTAATTAGGAACCCCTCATGTCCACCAACCACTTTGGTTGGAAAGTTCCCTGTTAAAGTTCATAGCCATCGTACCCCCAGTTCAATCCATCCCAATCCAACCACTAAAATAGGTTCGAAAAGGGTGGTGAATTCACCTACCAACCAAAATGGTACCATTGGTGTTGACCCACGGCCGTCTATCCTTGTCAAATTCGATGGACTGGGGCTTCGTGCGGGCCCGGAACATGTCCAGCCCGCAGCAGGAACAAAGCGAATGACGACACTCGGCAGCAAGGCCGGCGTGTTCTGCACCACTACAGAGATAGCCCAGCAAGGTCATCGAAGGTCTGTTTGAGGGATTTGCGTTGCATCGATCTCAGGTGCTGGGGATAGTCTGGCAATCCCTTTTGCGAATTCCTGGGGACATGGATTATGCTCCAATCGCAGCGGCAAAACAAGCAACAGGCAACCTGGCACTAAACATGTTCGTGGTGCCTGATGCAAAGCTGAGTCCTTTACGTATGATCTGTAGTGAGCACGCTTGAAGTGAGGTTCTGGTGAGCTGTATGTGGTATTTGGAATAGGTCGGGGGACCCTCGGAACCGGTGACGAGCTGCTCACTTTCGGCCCCTTCGCATGCGGTCTTTTGGCATGTGCAATGTTTGTCCCTGCCCCAATTTCGTGCTGCACTTCGCAGGCAATTCGCGAGAGCCTTCCCCGGCGCTCCCCGGCAGCGCTCCCCGTGCCAGCGGTCGCTCGCTCGCTCGCTCGCTCGGTTCTGCGCGCCTTCCGCGAGCGCCTGCGCCAGGAGAAACCCGGAGGGCCAGGCGGAGCTGCCCACACGGAAGTTGGGCCTAAGACGCGAGCCCGAGGCGCGAGGCGCGGCCACGGGGGTTGCGATGGGTCCAATTCGACCTGAGAAGTTGGACTTCAACTTCAAGTGACCCGAGTTTGGGAGTTCTCCATTTCTGGAGATCGGTCGCCCCACTTTGCCGCCCATTGCCGCCCATTGCTGCCAGTGAAAGGCTCCAAATCAACGGCAGAGTCATGCGTGCTTGCTAGACAATGCGCACAATCCCGTGTTCCAAGTTCTAATCATCAAACCAAGTCCACCGCTGCTTTTTCGGCCAAGCTATCATCCAAGTCCTAATCCAGTTTTTCCACGGGTTGGAGTTTACAATTTACAGCTTTCCGGATAGAGCTTGGGGTTTTTGGTCTTGCAAATGATGTGCACGTTGGTGCTTCTGAGACAAGTCGTCAAACAACTTGTGGCCAAGGAATGGTTTGTGGACCACCGGTCCAGCTCAATGAACATCTCCCATCTCACTGGTTGCCCGGGCCAGGTCTCGATGTGAAGCACGAAAGCCCCGAGATCCACGTCCTGGGAACAGGCTTAAACCTTGAGAAGCTGGACGCGCGTCGAGTCAACTAGCAGTTGATCAGTTGACCCAGCCCGTCAAATCGGAATGCCATTGGGGCAAGAGATTTCACTGCGAGTCCTTGGGGAAAAGAAAAGGAACCTTCAATAAAAATGGTGCCAGCGTGGGACTCTCCCGGCATGGCACTCAACATACCAAGGATACTAACACACAAGTGCACACCTGCCAAGGTTGGTGAGCTGGACAAGTAGCACAAGCTTCACAAAGTTCAAGCCGCTGTTGATTCTGGTTCTGAGATCTCAAGGTTTCCTCATGACGTCCGCTAAAGAAGCTCGGATTTGAACCTGCGCTTCACCCATGCTTCAGGTGGCCCAACTGCCCCATCGCCTGCATTACCGAAACTGGCTCACGGTGAACATCATTCTTGGCCTGAGCGATCCGACGAAAAATTGAAGATAGCAGCTGCCCCGAATAGCCTCACACGCTTATGATGCTGGGAAAGCGTGTGGAGTGCATTTGTGCGTGTGAAGATCTTTGTTTTCTTCAAACACTAAGGCACTTTGTATAACATGTACATAAGTGAAGTTCCGTCAAAATTTGTTGTTCACGGTGGGTACGTTCGAATTTAGAGAGTCCCGTACTTTCCGCTGTAGTAACTTGTCAGTACAAGTGTACTAAAGAAAGTACACTTTGGCAGCTCCGGCTCGAGAGTCGCAACTTTTCAGCACAAGTGTAGTAAAGGAGGTACACTTCGGCAGCTCCAGCTCGAAAGTCGCAACTTTTCAGTACAAGTGTAATACAGGAAGTACACTTTGGCAGCTCCGGCTCGAAAGTCGCAAATTTCAGTAAAGTGTAGTAACGGAAGTGCACTTTGGCAGCTCCGGCTCGGAAGTCGCAACAAAAAAGAAGGGTAGCCCTGTACACAAACCATTTTGAATCGGGTTACCTTTTTTATTGTAACTCTATCGTTTCGCATGCTGTTGGCACGTTTTACCGCACATGTTGGTATGTCGTGCCCAGCCCTTTACATATGTTGGTCGTCCAGAGGTTTTGCTGGACGCTCATATGTTGGCAATGAAAACGAAACAAGCATAAGCTGCTATCGCTTTCTTGAGTTCCCTTATCGTTTTCCATGGTTTCAAGCACCTTGAGCTTTGTGGATGTCCAAGTGTAGACTGCTTTCCTTTTCTTAAATTCCGACGACCGTGCTTCATTTTTGTTCCAGGGTGAGCCTGGCCCTGTGTGATTCTCATCGTAGCCACAGGTCTGGGGTGCTGGCGAATCGCCGGGAAACCTTCCAGGGTGTGGAGCGGCGCAGGGGACCCAGGAAACACCCAGGCGACACCAGGCAACTTTTTCACCAGCCCTTCGATCAGCACCTCAGCCCTGGAAACCAACAATACAGGACTCATCAGGACTCTTCCATCTTTTTCATCCATGCCAATTTATCGGGAACCAACGGACTTCTGGGATCTCTGTTAAAATTGCTTCACATTTTAAGGCTCCCTAATCAAACCTGTGACTTTGGGTTTGGGGCAACGCTGAGGTATAGCTGGCCCTCAGAACCTTTTCTTTTGGTGTTAGTGTTTGTGGATTACTTGCTAGGATATTCACTTACAAGGTTACTCGGAGCTGGCCTTAAAACCTCAGTGGAAAATTGGTGAAGTGTGTTCCTTGGTTTGCGTTGTCAGACGCTGCGTCGCAAACCATCTGTCCAGAGTTTTGCATCTATGAGGCACTACTACATGCAAGTGTCATGTAGTTTACCGTAGTGTGATGAAGCGTAATGTAGTGTAGGGCAGTGTAATGTAGTGTAATGCAGTGTAAGGTAGTGTAATGTAGTGTAATGTAGTGTAATGTAGCGTAATGTAGTGACATACGGTGAAATGTAGTGCAATGTCGTGCAATATAGTGCAATGTAGTGCAATGTAGTGAAATCTAGGTGATGTAGTGTAGTGTAAATAGATGTCAATGTACTGCGATGTGGTGTGATGTAGTGCAATGTAGTGCAATGTAGTGCAATGTAGTGCAATGTAGTGCAATGTAGTGCAATGTAGTGTAATGTAGTGCAATGTAGTCAAATGTAGTGCAATGAAGAGTGATATAGTGTATTGGAGTGCAATGTAGTGTAGTGTGAGATGTAGTGTGTAAGGCAGAGTGAAATGTAGTGTGTAATGAGGTGTGTAATGTAGTGTAATGTAGTGTAGTGTAGTGCGCAATGTAGTGCGTCATGTAGTGCGTCATGTAGTGCGTAATGTAGTGCGTAATGTAGTGTGTAATGTAGTGTAAGGTAGCGTAATGTAGTGTAGTGCAGTGCAATGTAGTGTAATGTAGTGTAATGTAGCGTAGTGGAATGCAGTGTAATGTAGGGCAAGGCAGAGTAATGTAGTGCAATGTAGTGTGATGTTGTGTAGTGCAGTGCAATGTAGTGTAATGTAGTGTAGCGTAATGTAGCGTAATGTAGCGTAATGTAGCGTAATGTAGTGTAATGTAGTGTAGTGCAGTGCAATGTAGTGTAACATAATGTAAGGTAGCGCAATGTAGCTCGCAATGTAGCATGGCGCTATTCAAGCATATCGCAATGAAATGTAACGCGTTGTAAAGCAATGTAATTCCGATGGAAATGTAATTTGTAAGGTATTATGCACTTGCAAATTGTGACGTGATTGTTGTCTCGTGTGGCCCAAGCTTAGGACCAACGGTGACAGAGAGACGCACCCAAACAGTTCACAGGACAATGAGAATGATTTGGAGTGGCAAAAAGGTAGGCGCTCAAACATGCTTTCACGAGAAATCCGGCCTCTTATCCGAGTCTAAGCACACAGTGCCCAAGCGAAGGGCGACCGGTGCAATCCCGCCATCCAGCCTGGCTGGGGCGGCAAGGCCAGCCTGGGAGTCAGGCAGCCAGACTTTTGACTTTGCGCCTACCTTCGAACACTGAAGACTATCAGAACAGCTGGGCTAGAACACTTCTTGTCAGCCAGACAACCAGTTTAGCTTCAGCGCGGCCGGCTCTGGCGCTGTAGGCCGGCCGTTTGAAGCCCAGCAAGCCAAGGCCGTGGCATGACCAGCTCAGGCCCATGGGCCACAGAACCCGCCACACCAAGCAGACCGCCGCGAACGACCAAGCGGCCACCTTGAACAGAAAACCACGAGTTTCTTCTCAGCCGGCGGATTTTTTTTTGCGAGGATGGGGTGTGGAAGCTTGTATGCTGTAGATTCGCTGATAGATACCTATCTCATAGCTGTTTCGGTCAAGGCGACCCAGGTTTTGGGCTGTGTACAATGAGGCATCTGATTACTGCTTTGTGTTGCTGGCTGGCTTGTTGACTCGTCAAGGTACGCGTCGCCTTGCATGGCTTGCAGTTCAGCAAATTATAATCTTGATCTTGAGCCTGCGCAAGCTGCAAGTGGCATCTCAAAACCACTGGTTCGGAAAGAACCATTGCAGGTTCAAACTTGCCAGGCATCATGGAGCATGTGTTTAAGCATTGGTTTCGGCTGGTTTCAAGTGGGCCTCGGGTGGTTTGGGTTGGTTTAGAGTGGGTGTGGAGTTGGAAAAGGGTCTGCTTCGCTTTTTGTCCAGAATTGGTTTGACGTGGTTTAGGGCTGATTTAGGGTGGAACTTGGATTTTGAGAGGCGTTAGCACAAACCAACCTAAAACCCTGGGCTCGAATCCTAAACCAAACCCTAAACCCACTCACAAACCTACCCTAAACCAATCCTTAACAAACCCTAAACTCAACCCTCAACTCACTCAAAAACCAGCTTTGACAAACCCTAAGCCAACCCTAAGCCTCACACCCACCCTACACCCTAAACCTGCCCTATAGAAAAACCCAAAACAAACCCAAAGCAAACCCTGAACCCACACTAAACCGACCCTCCTCTAAACAAACCCTACAAACCTTGCACCAACCAGCCATGCCACACCAAGCCTAAACAAACTCAAAGCAAACCCTACACCAACCCTAAACCCACCCCAAACCAACCCCAAACCCGCCCTGAGCCCACTCTAGATCCGCCCTAAACCGGCGCTAAACCATCCCTAAGCCAACCCTCACCCTCAGCCAACACAAAAAATAAAACCTAAGCAAATCCTATGACCATCATAAACCCTGAACCAACCCCTAAACCCATCCCGAACCAACCCTAAAGCCTGCTTTCTAGAAACCCCAAACCAATTTTGCACCAACGAGAAACGCCCTGAGCAATCCCTGAATCAACCCAACCCCAAGCCTGTCGGGCTCTTTCCTGAAACCCTAAACCCAATGGAAGAACTACACGGCAAGACCTACGAAGCTGACTGGTGCTGCGCTTGCAAACAACAACAGCGCTCCGAAAGTGACGAACTCAGCTCCGAAATCTCTAGCCTTCCACTCGCATGTTGAAGCGTCCTGGACGCAACCCGGCAGCCAGAACAAACGCTCCAGGATACTGCGGTACAAACGCGCAGCAGAACATGAACGAGAATTCCAGCCTATTCCGAACAAATCTGTCCAGGCTCCTGGGACTGTCATATTCGCAAGTTCTCCCTCGCATTGAAATATGTAAAGTTGTAAAGCCAAATGAGACCGGGGCGAGGCGAACCTTCTTTGGCTCGCATCACACCTTTCTCCTGAAGATACAGGCAGTGTCGCAGCTTCTTTGGCCGCAAAGTTGGAACCTCAGGCTGGCCTTCGCCTTGCCACGTACAAGGGTGTCAATTGGCCATTCGTCAAAAGCCCCGTACCAGTGAACATCCCAATCCAACCACTAAAATAGGTTCGAAAATGAGTGGTGAATTCACCTACCCCAAAATGGCACCCTTGGTTTTGACCCACGGCCAAATCTCATTCGCCCTGCGCTCAAATTGCGCGCCAAAACCACTCGCGAGCTTCGCTCCAAAACACTGGCAACCCCGCAAATGTCTGCCAGGCTTGACTGGCCCGGCCTACACCCCGAGCTTCAACAAGCTTCTGCCTGCCAGTAGTCCCACCTCGGCACAGCTCTAAAAGAGTTGCAGCCAAGGAAGAGCCTACCAGGCTCCCAAGCCACCACATGGCAGCATGCTATTCCCTATGTTGCCCCAGTATGTTCCCATGACAGCCCCACAATTTGCCCAGCACACGGCGTTGATTTGGCTGGCCGCAATCGCTTTCGCTTTTCTCTCTCAAAGGCCTGAGCGCGCGCAAAGCTACCTGCAAGCTTTTCCATTGGAGCTGTCCTGCACCTTTGGCGCTCAGCTGTCCGTAATCAATATGGCTGCATCTCGGTCATACTCCTCAGGCGTCTGGCGAATCCGCAGAAAACTTGTCCCTAAACTTGCTCAACAGTGCCCTGTACTCTCTTACACATCCGGTGTCCTCGCGGAATTGTGGCCAAGCCTAAAACAGCATTGGCCTTCTTGTGCACAGTTATCGCTGATATTTGACCTTCCTACCCATTGTTCAATCGTTGTCTGCCAATCGCCTAAACGCCTAACTTGCACATGTGCACTGACTCAACTCCTCCTGGCATCTCCCTGGTAGTAAATCCGGACTTGCGAGTTTGCACGCAGCGTGGCAGCCCCAGCCAGGAATTGGCAAAGTGCAGCTGCCTGGCCGAAGCAAGAAACCAGAAGGCTCTCATTATTGGATGAAACGATGAGACCGTCCCATGCCCAAGAAGATTGCCTCAAACAATCACCTCGTGCCAGCGTGACCTGTCACCCGCCTAGCATCAATGCTTGACGGATCAACCGAGTCCCCAACTTGAAGTACTCTGGCATATCTTTGCTGGCCAGCGATTCAATTGCAAAGAGCCAATGGACGATTCAGAACTCTAGCAGTTCTTGCAGGTGCCAACCATCCATATTCATCCATGTACTGCTCCTTCCTCATTTCACAATATGAAGCCTTCAAATGAAGCAACTCAAGTGAGACAACTTTGACAGCCACCGCAATTGTTGGTCTACTCGTCCATTTACCAGACCAACCCATTTTGGCCCGGATCCCTTTGCTGAGCCACACACACCCCTCCTCCCCCAATGTCCCCCTCTCCCTCACTCAAGCACAGCGCTGTGGGAAACGACCACCTATGTGATACAACAAACAGGCTTCGCAAAGACCAACTTCCCATAGAAAGGGGGAGATTCCAACTTGTATCACAGAAGTGAAAATGAACCCCGAGTGATCCCACCCTGCTCAAGCAAGCCTCCCCCTCCACCCCCTCCTTCCCCAATTTCCTCCCTCCCTCTCCCTCACTCTTTTGCAAAAACATACCATTTCCTCCCTCCCTCTCCCTCACTCTTGCAAAACCAAACGTGGCCAGGGCCGCAAAGTAGGTGATGGAGATCCCGGCCATGGGGTCGATCGCATCCTCGGAGTCGTCGAAGATGAAGAGCGCCCCGCAGGCGCCCAGCCCCGCCCCCGCGCCGAAGGTCGCCACCACCAGCATCAGACCCGAGCAGCCGATGAGCCTCGGCCGAGGCTCGCCGAGGTCCGAACACTGTCAAAAGCGAAACACGTCAAAACGTGGTGCCGCGGCGATTTATGGCAAGATCGTCCCTTACTAACCTTCATCTACCCAGGTTTTGATTGTGGCTCATGTCAACCATACTTTGGAACTTTTGGAACTAGCTCCTCACTCCACAGCCAAACCGTCTTAAAAGTAAACAACAAATCAAATCATCATCCTCCACAGCCAAAACGTAGACTTAAAAGTAAATAATCAATGGCCATGGGTCAAAAGCCCGTACCCCCAGTGAATATCCCAATCTCCACTAAAACAGACGAAAATGGGTGGTGCACCTACCCCAAAATGGCACCATTGGTTTTGACCCACAGCCATGTGGCTGTGGCTCAAAAAATCGGTACCAAAATGGCACCTTGGATGGAACCAAAGACTAAAACCACGCGTAACCACAGCTTCCTAATTTTGAGCTATACCCATGCGAGTCGCAATCACAACCCGGTACTAAGATGGTCTACCAGAACCATGTAAGGAATTAAGAATGAGGCCGCAGCGATTTATGGCAAGATCGTCCCTTACTAACCTTCATCTACCCAGGTTTTGATTGTGGCTCATGTCAACCATACTTTGGAACTTTTGGAACTAGCTCCTCAGCCAAACCGTAGACTCAAAAGTAAACAACAAATGGCCATGGGTCAAAAGCCCGTACCCCCAGTGAACATCCCAATGCCCAGTAAAAATAGGTGGTGCACCTACCCCAAAAATGGTACCATTGGTTTTGACCCACGGCCAAGTAAAAATGAATCCATCCCCCACCACTCATTATATCTTCCTGTGAGCTTGGTCAGCTGCTGGATTCCGCCCATCTGCTGCGCAGCACGTGTATGAATTCTCGCCATGGCCATGCCAGCAACGCTCTGGCAGAACATGGACGTCATGAGCATCCAAAGGAAAATGTATCCAGCATTGCAAAAGCTCGCATTCTGCTTCACGAAGCCTCCAAGTGTCTCAGTGATGTACATAACTGCCAAAATGAAGTCGCCCACGGCCATGCCAAGCTTGGCCAATGCAAATGCAAGCACCCACCATTCGACCACCAATCTGGAAGTTGTGGAAAGATGCTTCTGCACCATACAAGCACTTGCGCAGATCATCACCTGCATAGCACACATTGCAAGTGCTTCGATGCCATCTATCCCGAAGCCAAATCCAATGCCAAAGTTCACGTGGCACATGGTGGTCGCGGACAGTGCCACCAGCAAAATGCCGTAGAACATCGCGGCCCACGAGCCTCGAACAATCCACCTGCGGCCAGTCGATCAATTTGTGCCTATACGGGGGGGGGGACTTCTTTTTGGATGGATTTAAGGGGAAACCAAACGAAAAACCACCATATATATATATATGTATATTAATATATGCATTGGAGGGGGGGTCCCCCTAAAAAACAGACAACCCCAATTGCCGTATGAGAGCCACAAAATCAGGTCCAGAGTGACGTGCCCGCCTATCCACAGTGCTGTCCACATCGCTCTGGCGATCGCAGGCCTCTAGGAGCTGTCCGTAGTTGGAGGCTGCAGTTGCATCATTCAGGTTCACCTCCCGCTGAGCGCCTGGCGCATTGACCCGGACAGGATTAGAGCTGAAAAGTTGGAGAAGAAAGTCCGACGCCGTCAAAGAAATAGCTATGGGGGGGGTGCGGGGGCAAGTGAATCTGAAACAACACATCCATTCTCTTGACACATTTGTCTGGCATTTGTCTGGCATTTGTCTGGCAATGTCCCCAAGAGCACTGCGCCAGCTAACCCCATCATCTGATTCCTGCATGCATAGTTGCTGTTGTATCACCAACACCCAACAACCCTCATGTGCTGTGCTGCAAGTGGCTTAAACTTCAAATGCTTGTAGACAATCGCAACGCAAGCGTGGCTCGCTGCACCGGTAAGATATTGCTTGCTGACAGCATACATTCAAGCCGTATGATGTTCACTTTAGCGATCTCTGGGAGACTCATCAAGTGAAGGATCCTGGATACGGGATTTTTCGATCTTTAATATGATCTGCGGTTGAAGTGGAGATGTGGTAGGAGCTTGGTGCACCCATTGTTGGCAGCTTTTTGTGTGTGGCTCATGCCATTCCCTCTCATGTGGAACCAAAACCGCAAGAACCTCCTGAAAAAGAATGAAAGCGGAGAACCGCGAAGAACCACCAAACCCCACAAAATGGAACGCCCATCGATGATCGTCGGCGCCCTTGAAGCCCTGGCTGGAAACCGAGACAGAAGTCTGCCATTCCCCCATTCCATCGGCCCGATCGCCTCCAGAGCAACCTGTCATGCTGTAGACCAGGCAACCCAAGCAAAGCAGGGTCAACATCACGAAGCTGCCTTGGAAGAGCTGATTGCTGTACCACCAGCAGCGTGTCCGCTTCTTGAAGCAGGTCATGTAATTTTCCCAGTATGTCTGGTTGACCTAAGCTCCAGTGGCTAAGCAATCCCCACATCCTGAACAAACTGAAGAAATAAGAGGACTGCAAAGGAAAGGAAGCAACTCGTACGCACTTGCTCCAAACATGTGGTTGCCAAGGTAGTCAAGGTTACATGCAAACTGTTTTCGTTGTTTTGCAGCGCAGAGTTGTTGAACTCCCACAGCAAGAAGTCTTCGGAGACGTCCTGCCCAAGCTGGCAAAGGCAGTTCAGCTGCGTGCTGCAGGAGATGTCGAAGAGTCCCACTGACTTCACCGTCGCAAATACGCCTAGAAAAAGCACTGTCACTCAGCCTAGAGCAACAAGGTACGTTGAGAGCATGCAGATTGCCCCTTGGGTCAGCGATCTGTGTGAGGCAAAAAGCCATCAACACCAACATCTCAGATCAGCATCAGCGGCTTGCACTTTGCCCTGCCCAGGCTTTCACTTGGGTGTGGTTCAAAAATAGGTACCCTAAATGGCACCCTGGGAAAAGGGAAACACAGACTAAAATCTGCGGTCCCCTGGTGCTTTAATTTTGACCCATACCCACTTGTGCAAACCTAGCACCTACCCGCCCGTGTGCCTTCCAGCAGTGCGTCAATGTTTTGCTTTGCCGAGTAGTTCGGTAGAAACTCAATGCCCAGGGCAGCGCAATCCTCGTCCAGGCACCAATTGTCTGGCTCCGAGATGCTCCAGCCGGCCAGGGGGCTTTCCTTGGCGAAAGCTGCGCTCAAGGTGGGCTCTTTCAATCGAGCTCACCAGGAAATGATACGCTCGAATCTCACGCATGCAACGTGTGGCATTTTGAAAGACCCCTTTGTGCCAAATACGACCAGGAGCCGAATTTAATTCAGGATGGCGCTTTCTTTCAGGATGTTGCTTTTCGTTTTGTTCTCCAAGGTGCCAGTATGATGTTTGTTCAGCATCATCAACACTACTAAGTAGCATCAGCAAGCTGTTGGTCTCCGCTTCGATTTACGCAGGTATTTTGCACCAGCATCATCAAAGGGTGGGTTTGCGGTGGGTCAAGGGTTGATTCAGGGTTGGTTTCTGGCTTTCTGGGGGGTTTAGTGGAGGGGTTGAGCTCGAGGCTAGGGGGGATTTATAGGGATTGATTTGAGTTTAAGGTGGGTCTAGGGTGAGTCCAGGGTGGATTTACGATGGGATTACGCTACGTTAGGATGGATTTGGGGTGGGATTGAGATGTCTAATGAAAGCTGCCAACAGCCAGGCAATTCTGCGAAAAGCCGCCCAAGCCGAACTGCCGCCAGAGCTGCCAACCAAAACACATGTGCACAACAAAAACATGAAACTAAACAAAAGAGTGAAAACACGCTTTCCATGTGACGTGGAAAATGCACAGAAACATCCTTTGCCTGCTCAAACAAGCTGCAATCAGGAAACACAAGAGTGTAATTAGCATGATTGTTGATTTGTCACGGCGGGCTGCGCCATTCAACAAGCAGAGATGCGTGCTGAGGCTCAGTGCCGTTGTCCAGCTCAAAGCTCATGTTGCTGCCATCGATCCAGGTCCAGTCTCCACTTTCATTGCTGCCGCGCTCAAACAGACCAACAAAGGCAGGGTGCTTGCGCTCCTTATCACCGTGGCACGGGCACACATGTGATCACTCTGCCAAGGTCAACAACGAGCGACGCGTGGCCAAAGACCTAGACACAGACTCAAGAAATCATGCACATTCTTGACTACCCTTGCCATCCAGGCTCTCTTGTCAAGTTGACAAGGAAGAGCTGTGTATCAACATCGTGGATCACAGCAAGCGAGGAGTGGAGGTTGCTGCAAATTCGATCCTGGCACTGCGTCATGCTGCCCCTCTCCTGCAAGGTTGGTGCACAAGAGGACCCTTTCTCCACACACAAAAAAAAGTCAAGTGAAACTAACCAAGAACCCTTTCTCCACACAAAAACAAAAGTGTCCCAGCCATGCCTTTGATTTTTTCACCCGTCCTCACTCAAGTGGAAGCATTCATCCTTGAAGGCCCGGAACCCAGCGGGGCAGCCACCCTGCGCCAGGCCAAGGCTCGCGAGGCTCACGAGGCCCAGGAAGCGCCGCATCGCTGCATCTGAGCCAAGGGTCCGCGAGCCATGTTTTGCTTGAAAAAAAAAAGCGGAGAGTTTGTTTTCCCCCCGAGGGTGGAAGGTGTGCTTGAGGATTCCTTCATGCCACACAGGCTTTGATGCACTGTGTGATGCACTGGAGTTGACTGCTGGATATCACATAAGTGATCCAAAATCACGAGGCCTCCGTTCCTTTTTCGTGCACAGCCCAGCTCCCAGGGCTCCGAAGTCACTCCAACAGACCCAAAGCGGCACGGCGGGGCACGATGAATCAAACAGTGGGAAGCTGAGGCATCCACAATACGTTGCCGAACTGCAGTCCGATGCTGGACCTCAAAGCAGAATGCAAGGCATCAGCCAATCGCAGGTCCCAGACAGGAAACCAGGGGACACCATCAGCTAACATACCACGAAGGCAAGTCAATCAAGGGCAACAGTGTATGCTAACAATACACAAGCTCGGAACAGCCCCAAACAAACCCTGAGCAATAAATCCCAGCATCGAATTTGACCTCAAGCAAGCCACCAACAAAAGACAGCGAACGAAATAGAGTCGACCTAGTACAAGTCATTGCAAATTCAGCATAGTCTTAGACTTCATGACGCCAACTTCTTATGTTTTCCCGGACCGACACGACAACTGACAGTGTCTGCAAAGCTTGCACACAAACGCTGGTGATGGGGACCCCCCAAAACACGGCTGGCGCAGCACCGGCTGTATTGCAGGGGTCTCCTCATAAAGGGGGTTTCCCTATCAACTCTGGGGTGCTTGACGGCGTGCGCACATCGGCAAGGAGCCGGGCGCGCAAGCGCGCGCGAAAGCATCTGGCCCGGCGCGCGCGGAGCCCAAGCAAAGCTTTCGAGTCAACCATTAGGACATCCAATGTTCAGTGTGACAGATTGCAAGTCTCTTGGATGTGTGATCAAGCGGAGCAAGCCAAGGAGCCGCAGGCGTGCGACGCAGAGTCTATCTTTGCTATAGCTTCTCAACTCGCCTTGCTGCTAAGGTTTCGGTGGGAATCTCTGCGGCTTTGCCACACAGCGACCCGTGTCTGTTCCTGCTGCCGCTTCTTGAGCGGCTGGTCTGCGTCAGCATCAAACTTATGACTATTGCATATTTATAAGTTCAAGACAAGCCACGACTTACCTGTCACGCGCGCGGATGTTTGCAGGGGAACGCCAGCAACGCAAAGCAATGACCAGACCATGGCCGTAGGCGCGCGGACCAAGGGTGTGGCCGAGGCACTGCAATTTTCCAGAGAGCTGCCTACCCGCTGGAAAGAAGGAAGGAACTCGAAAAACACAGACACAGGTGTAGAACCATACGCGGCCCGAAGGTCTTTGAGGCGTCGGCTAGGCCTTTCAGCCCCAGCGCATCGGGGCAGCGCACAAAGCCTGAGTGTAAAGCTATCTTCGAATTGAAGCTGGCAGGGTCTTTTGAGGACCTCTGGCAGTCTCACTCATCTCTCACCCGCTGCTTGAGGACCCGCACGTGCCCAGGCCTGGAAAGTCGCCGCGCTGGCCATGTGCACAGAGACCTGCAGGCACAGAGCTGTAGCTTCTCTTGCGCAGCCCAAGGAGTTCTTTGTCTCTGACCCACCACGCGACCTGATGTTGGAGAGTTATGGCCTTTAATTACCAGGTAACGGGGGGCGCATCTCTGACGGAATCGACAAACAAAGTACTGGTTGCTGCCATGTGGCCATGGGTCAAAATCCCGTACCCCCAGTGAACATCCAATTCAATGCCTAAAATGGGTTCTAAAGTGGGTGGTGAATTCACCTACCACCTACCAACCAAAATGGGATCCCAAAACGGTTTTGACAACCAAAATGCCATGTGCATGTGCGTGTCGTTCCTCAAAATCACCAACATTCTCCCCCGACTCGCTGTTGGTAGGGCTCCATGGCCTCAGACTTCGCCTCATGTCCCCGTCCCAGCCGGAGCCGCGGCCTGGGCGCCAGCCACCCTGGCGAGGCAAAGCTCGTGGGGAGTAAGCGACTTCGAGTCGCGGACATGGCGCCTGTAGTCTCCGTGAAAAGCTTGATGCATCCTTTCAGGCTGTTCTCATCCAGTGAATCTGTCGTCAAGAAGGGCATCCAGTGACTCAATTCTGGAGGAATACTTAGCCAGACCGCAAACATGTAGCATGACCCGAGCGAGCTTTCTGGTCATTCCAGGCGCCCATAAAACTTCCCAACTTGAAGACATCAACCTCAAACAAGCCGCTGCCACCCACATCCGCGAGGCGAGGCCCGGGCAAGGTACCAGGCCTGGAAAGCACGGCCAGCCTGGCAAGGGCAAGGGTTGGGAGCAATATGGCTGTGGGTCAAAAATGGGTATCCATTTTGGAACCCTAGTAAACCAAACCAAGGACTAAAACCAGCCGTCCCCTGGTGCTTTAATTTTGACCCATACCCATATTGACCCATGCTTGTCACTCATTGATCTGACTAGTTGACAGCACGCATGGTTCCGGCCAACAGCCTAGGGAGGGAAGTCTGACTTGCTTTCCATGCACCCAGAAATCGCCAATTCAACAATCCCCTCCAAGTACATAACAGTTAGGGAGAATCTCGCCTGCAATAGCCGCAGCTGCCGCTTTGCCACTGCAAGCAGGCGAGAAGACCTGCGTGCCTTATGTGGCAGTCACGCCCCAAAGTCAGCTCAGAAGGCAAAAGAACACTATTGGGAATTCGCAGATTGTTGCAATCTCCATACCATGGTACAATATGATGAATGATGAAGGTTGACCACTGGATCGTCTTTTTGTACCAGCTGCGTTGGTGGGAACATTTTGTGTGGGTCATGGCCAGTTTCCCATACGGCCTGTGGACAAACTGCGTTGCTTCAGGGGAGATGTGTGGTCAAAAGGCATGACTCCGTGTCGCCGCTCCCCTTCCATCTTGACGGCAAGGAGACGTTTAAGGATCTCTTCTGATCGAAACACCCAAAACCCTGAAGCCCTCAACGTCAAGTAGGATTTCCTCTGTCACTGTTGGTTGTTCAAAATCACAACTGACACAGGCTTATGCCAATCCTGCCAAATCCTGAGGGACCGCCAAAGTTCAAGAGGTTTGTTTTGTTTGGCGTGTCAACGTCCCACCCTCATCAGCGCATTTTGAAGAACGCCAAAGTCAGGCATGGGGCCCCAGACTAGATGAAGCCAAGCCCGGCTGATCATCTTCAAGCCTGATGATCAATCTGATGGACAGGTCTCAGGGCATGGTGGCTTGAACAAAATGACAGGACCGTGAAGAAAATGGACGCTTTACCAGGACTGGCCATGATATCTCTCCGCCGACTCCTGCACTTGTCATTTGAGGCAGGAATATCTCAGAGGTCGCCTTGCCTTGCCAAGTGAAGACTGACCATTTCTCAGTTTCAGCTGATTGCCCACGAAACAGCCAGCACTTTTGGGCACGTTCGCCTTGAGGGGGTCTTGCTTCTTCCACATGTTCACGCGTCGTCTGGGTCTGCGTGGAGTGAGGTGGGTTGGGTGGGCCAGCTTCAAGTTCCTTACAATCACTTTGTGCTAGGCTGCTTCAGCCCAGTCCATGTCCAGATCTGGTTTAGTTTCCCTTTTGCCCAGCCCCGGTATCATTTGCCCAAGCCCGCATTGCACTTCTGGTTCCTTTGAGCCTGGCCGAGGCGGGCAGCGCATAGCGTTTACAAGAAGGCTGGCAAACATACAGGTCACGCATGATGGCCCGCTGATCAAACGTATCAAGGGCGTAAATGACCCGCAGTCAAAAGATAGGCGCATGACAAATTGCTTCTGTCGGCTGTCCAAGCAAACTGTCCAGGTTATATGGATTTTCCAGAAGCCCACCTTCTCGGCCGCAGATTCTGGAGACCATCCTGGCAAAATCCAGGCTGTCATGCTGCATGCAACACGCGAATCAGAGCAGCTCCTTGTGACAAGCTCCGAAAGCCAAACAGAACATGCAAACATGCGTCATGGATTTCAGCACACGCTACGACGCGGCGTGATGCGGGGACGATGATTGTATGCCTGATCCTTAGCAAAAGATATGAATTGATGTTTTGCCAGGACATACAGAGCGAGCATTATTTGCCACACAACCCAGCAACTAACCATACTTGGTTGCCCTTTCCTACAAAATGAAATCAAAATAACTTGTTGTCATTTGAAACAAAATACCCGCCGACAACAGACCTGTTGCCCCTCTCCTCTCCCCTCCCCATTTCAGACTGTTGCGGGGGGGGGGGGTCCACGTACCACGCGGTGATTCATTGGGGTGTTCGATTCCCCCCGGGTCCGCTTTCGCATCCTTAGCAGCTCCAGCGGCACATCGCCAGCATCACCTGCATCATCCGCATCAGCGCCTGCCAAGGATGCGGATGATGCAAGTGATGCTGGGGATGTTGCCCATGCTGGTGAAGGAACATCTGGAAATGAAGGAGGGAAAGGGGGGAAAGGATCTCAACAGGGAAAGGGGGGGAAAGATCTCAGGGAGGAAAGGGAGAAGATCTGGGGAAAAAAAAAGATCTTAGGGAGGAAGGGAGAAGATCTGAAAGGAAAAAAGGCCAACAATAAAAAGGGGGGAAAAGATCTTAGGGAGGAAAAGGGAGAAGCTCTCAGGGGGGAAAAGGCCTTAGGGGGAAGGGGGGAAAGGATCTCAACAGGGAAAGGGTGGGAAAGATCTTAGGGAGGAAAGGGAGAAGATCTGGGAGAAAAGGACTTAGGGGGGAAAGGGGGGAAAGGATCTCAACCGGAAAAGAGGGGAAGGATCTTAGGCAGGAAGGGAAGAAAGATCTCTCAGGGGGGGAAAAGGCCTTAAGATCTCAGGGGGGAAAGGCCTTAGGGGGGAAAGGGTCTCAACAGGGAAAGGGTGGGAAAGATCTTAGGGAGGAAAGGGAGAAGATCTGGGGGAAAAGGCCTTAGAGGGAAAGGATCTCAACCGGGAGGATCTTAGGGAGGTCAAGGGAGAAGATCTCAGGGGGGGAAAGAGGGGGGAAAGGGGGGAAAAGGCTCTCTTAGGGAGGAAAAGGGAGAAGATCTTGGGGGGAAAAGGCCTTAGGGGGGAAAGGGGGGGAAAGGATCTCAACAAGGAAAGGGGGGAAAAGATCTTAGGAAGGAAAAGGGGGAAGATCGCAGGGGAAAAAAGGCCTTAGGGGGGAAAGGGGGGAAAGGATCTCAACAGGGAAAGGTGGCAAAAGATCTTAGGGAGGAAAAGGGAGAAGATCTCAGGGGGGGAAAGGCCTTAGGGGGGAAAGGGGGGAAAGGATCTCAGCAGGGAAAGGGGGGGAAAGATCTTAGGGAGGAAAGGGAGAAGATCTGGGGGCAAAGGCCTTAGGGGGGAAAGGGGAGAAATGATCTCTACAGGGAAAGGGGTGGAAGAGATCTTAGGGAGGAAAGGGAGAAGATCTGGGGGAAAAAAGGCCAACAGGAAAGGGGGGGAAAGATCTTAAGAAGGAAAAGGGAGAAGCTCTCAGGGGGGGAAAGGCCTTAGGGGGGAAAGATCTCAACAGGGAAAGGGGGGAAACAATCTTAGGAAGGAAAAGGGAGAAGATCTGGAAAGGCCTTCGGGGTAGGGGGGGAAAGGATCTCAACAGGGAAAGGGGGCAAAGGATCTTAGGGAGGAATAGGGAGAAGATCTCAGCGGGGGGAAAGGCCTTCAACAGGGGAAGGGGGGGAAAGATCTCAGGGAGGAAAGGGAAAAGATCTCGGGGGGGGGGGGAAAAGGCCTTAGGGGGGAAAGGGGGGAAAGGGAGGAAAAGGGAGATGATCTCAGGGGCGAAAAGGCCTTAGGGGGGAAAGGGGGAAAGGATCTCAACAGGGAGAGGGATCTTAGGGAGGAAAAGGAAACTCAGAGGGAGAAAGGGCCTTAGGGGGGAAAGGGGGAATGGATCTCAACAGGGAAAGGTGGCAAAAGATCTTAGGGAGGAAAAGGGAGAAGATCTCAGGGGGGGAAAGGCTTTAGGGGGGAAAGGGGGGAAAGGATCTCAGCAGGGAAAGGGGGGGAAAGATCTTAGGGAGGAAAGGGAGAAGATCTGGGGGCAAAGGCCTTAGGGGGGAAAGGGGAGAAATGATCTCAACAGGGAAAGGGGTGGAAAAGATCTTAGGGAGGAAAGGGAGAAGATCTGGGGGAAAAAAGGCCAACAGGGAAAGGGGGGAAAGATCTTAGGAAGGAACAGGGAGAAGGTCTCAGCAAGGGAAAGGCCTTAGGGGGAAAGGGTGGGAAGGATCTCAACAGGGAAAGGGGGGAAACAATCTTAGGAAGGAAAAGGGAGAAGATCTGGAAAGGCCTTCGGGGTAGGGGGGGAAAGGATCTCAACAGGGAAAGGGGGCAAAGGATCTTAGGGAGGAATAGGGAGAAGATCTCAGCGGGGGGAAAGGCCTTAGGGGGGAAAGGGGGGAAAGGATCTCAACAGGGAAGGGGGGAAAGATCTCAGGGAGGAAAGGGAAAAGATCTCAGGGGGGGAAAAGGCCTTAGGGGGGAAAGTGGGGGAAAGGGAGGAAAAGGGAGATGATCTCAGGGGGGACAAAGGCCTTAGGGGGGAAAGGGGGGAAAGGATCTCAACAGGGAGAGGGCGGAAAACATCTTAGGGAGGAAAAGGGAAAAAATCTCAGAAGGAGAAAGGGCCTTAGGGGGGAAAGGGGGAATGGATCTCAACAGGGAAAGGGGGGCAAAAATCTTTGAGGGGAAGGGGGGCAAGGGGACAATTCCAAAGGGACGCAAATAAGAAAGCAGGCCTGTAATGTCGGCGGCCTGAGCCGGAGGCGTTAAAATAAATATGTCCAGCAACCATCCTCCGCCTGTTCTACCAACATCACAGTAATAAACTATTGTGTAGCGTATGCAAATGTGGCTCGAATTGCCAACAAACAGCAATGAAAAAATTGCCAATAACAGTGACTGGAACCATACGTGCAATGCTTTGCCAAGCTACTTCAAACAAACAATGCATAAAGAGCTGCTTCTACTCTAAAATCCAGTTTTAAACATGGGCAAAACAGAGTATGATCACTGACTACTGACTGGACAAGCCTAGTGGCATGATTGCACTTACAAACGTGATATTGTAACATACTGTGTTTTCTCTGATGCGAGTATAACTCGATGCTGCTACCATGCTCGTCACTGTCACTAGCTACTTATCATATGCTCAAAGTTGATAAAGTTGAGTCGCATGTTGAATCCATTTGCCAGTAATCGTCGTAACTAATTGGCTTTCTTCATCTAAAGTGACATGTCGGCGCTCATGTTCAAGCATTGGGTGTGTGAGGTCAATATGTCTAGGAACGTAGCACTGTCACCACTTGGTTAAATACACCGTCAAAAAATCAGTCAATGTATTCAAGTGCGTGGCCGCGTGTGTAATAGAAAATACTTATTCGCAGCAACAGTGCATCTACTCTCCACATCTCCACTAGTTGCTGTCTGAAAACTTCACGGTCTACAATGCTCTTCTGTTGCTTCAACCAAAAGTGGGCTTTCATGCCGCGGTGTAGTGATAGAAAGATACGTGTTCTTTGCGCTTTTTGGGCTGTGGACATTATAAACCACCCCCCGAAGTGGAATCCGGACAGCTGAACTCCGGATCTGTCCAAGACAATCAGCCCCAAAGCCATAGTTTATAATTCGAAGCATGGTCTGCCGAAACAGCAACGCAGGTCTAGCCATAAACAGTCCCTCCGCAAAAGAGCAAAGAAAAGACCAAACCGAATTGGCGGTTGGCCTGTATTCCTCAGGGCACGTGATACAAAGAGTACATGGAAATGAAATACCACGCCTTGCAGGGAAACTATAAACAACAAGTCATGTCTACTTGATGGAACTACCAGCACTGGTTGATTCCTAGCATTCCTGTTGAGAAAAGAGCTTGCACACTCAACTTGGACGGAACTCCAAAAAAAATTAGACGCTGCTCCCCGAGCTAAACTCCTTCCCATGCTCCAGAGCGCCTCGTCCGAGCTCGAGAGGTACTAGCCTTGCACGCGACAGCAAACAACTGCCCTGAGATGGCTGTGGGTCAAAATCAATGGTACCATTTTGGTCGGTAGGTGAATTCACCACCCATTTTAGTCTATTTTAGTGGGAATTGGGATGTTCACTGAGGGCAACCGTCACCGCCAGGGTGGCACTCGCACATAGCAGGTGACACGCAGTGGCATGGAGCAAGTGACTGCACCTCCAGAACGCAACCTTGCCAAAATGTGGTGGGAACTCTGTCGGTGCTTCTTTGACAGCCTGACACGTACACTGGTGCTCTGGTGCTTTAAATCAGGGACATAAGACGCGCTACTTTTGATGTGCCATACCAAGAGAAGACCACAAGATCAAACCTATACTGAGTTGCCTTTCTCTGCTTTGCTTTGATTTGCTTGCTTCATATTGCCTTCGGTGCTTGCTTGCTTGTTGTTGCTAACAGCTTTACTAGCGACGTTGGGGAGTCCTGAACATCACACGCTGCTGTTTGTGTGTAGGCTGGGCAGGGGCTAAACAACACATGCTTGTCGCGGCTACTGCTACTTTCGGGCGGGTGCAAGCTCAAGCGCACAACTGCTTACAAAAGACCCTACTGCACTTCTTGCAATTTTGAGCGAACAACTGCCTGCAAGACTTTTGTTGGCCTCCATTCTCCCGCTGCTGCTTTCCGAGCCTTTCAGCTTTCCTTGGCCAAAGCTTCTGGGCTTGCTCGAGCCGATCTCAAGCGGTTTCGCGGTCGTGTTGGGGGTTGGGAATGAAGGAGCAGGCAGCAAACGCTGCCAAAGCCAGCAGATAGGTGCCCAAAAGTGCGTCGGCGTCGACGCCCCAGCTCCCTTCCCAGCGACGCCGCGCTGAGTTTGCCTTGGGGTTTGGCGTTGGGGCAAGGGGGGGGGAAATATGTGTGATTGGTCCGAAGCCAACTCTCCCGGGCTCCAGGTCAGCGTTGCATGTTCTCGCATCTGTTTCCAAAAGCAACCGCGATCACGTGCACCGCGTGCACAGCGTGCTTTTTGTAGAAGAACTGGCCCTGTCATCCGTCATACTCTTGCGGCTCGCCTGAGTTCCTTTGCCGCATTTGTTGAGTCATTTGGAATGCGAGTACCAGCAGGGTTTCAACCTTCCTGCTGCAAATATGTTTGTTTGCTTCGCACAGTCCACTGCCAGTATCACATTCTGATCGCTGATCAACTGAACTTTTTGACAACGGCAGAGGCACGGCCAATAAAAACCTGACAATCAGATGCTTTCAATTTGCAACTGTCAGTTGTTGCCTGGCAGTTATGCAGGAGTAAAATAAGCAGTTAGCCCAGATAAACCGATAAAATGCTAGCCCGTACCTGTTGCTGCGCGTGAACTCGTGGCCTTGCTTCATGCTGTCTTGCCATGTAGCTGCATTGCTGCGTGGGACCTTGCAAGTTCACGAGTGCCCAAAACGGGTGTGATTCTACGAAGCCATTTTCTGGGGTTGAAAACTGCACGTGCGTCAAGATCCAGATGGAAGCACATGCAAGCGGGATGTCGATGGTTGAGTGTGTGTCCCCTGAAGGTGGTCGCGGGTCCCGCGGCACCACCAGATTTTCAGGAGCTACATGGAAGCAAACACATGGGAGAAGCCAGGAGCAGCGATACCCTCCAGCGTGACGGAAAACCACACAACAGAAAGGGTAGGCCGGCCACATGCAACCTTGATGAGAGCCAAGGTGACACCAGTGGGGTTCGAAACGGCCAAGAAGGCAAACTGCAATGCACCAGAATGTTTTATGCCTGCCGCACGCAAGCAAATCTGCAAGCAGACTAGGCGAATCGGGCTGTCCGCCAAGCTGCATCGAAATGAGATCAGATTTGCGCCTGCGCGAATTCCGCCTTGTGCAATCACGAATGCACGGATAAAGCGGGTGGGGTAAGAACTGCCAGTTCAGAACAGATTCAGCCCACCATTTGGATCAAGCTACCCATCTGAGCAGCTATAGCGGAGACGGTGTCAACATGCAGTGAGTCCAATGCATGACATCACGCAATGCGAATGTGCGTTTTCCACCGTCTCTGGCTGCTTTCCTGTGGTTGCCTACCCTCTTGCTTGCGTGCCTCTTTGATGGTTTTCTTTCTACGACCTCGAGCGTACCTTTACCATCTGCCATCTTCACTGCAAGCGAGGTCTCTATACCGGCACGCTTCCTCCCGTGATTCGTGCAGGTGATCGCATTCTCAAACGTGCAATGGCATCAAGCAAAAGCGCCCCAAGCAAATCTCAGCCACGAGCTTGTGGGCGGGTTGCTCGACAGGAGCGGAGTTGCTGCCATCTCCTGATGGGTGTCAGACATGGCAACAAAAAAAACATGATTTAAAAAAGGCACTTCTCGGGGTGCAGCCATGATCCAGTCGACCGGCCACGGAAACTCAAAAAGAAGAAGAAAAAACAAAAAAGCGACGGCGCACCATGGGCCTCCAGGCATCGAAGGAGGTGCCCAGCAACTGAGCAGCGCACGCCTCACCGCATGGCATCTCGCGAGCGCCCGCGGCCGCTGGGCGTTCTCCGGACACTAAGGAGGCCACTGAGTCGAGCTCGCCCAGGCGCTCCAAGCCTCTCAAAGGCTCAGGTGGGGACCTCCAACTGGTGGTTTCCTTTGGTTTCCTTTGGTTTCCTTTGGAAAACCATGCAAAAAGGGGTCCCCGAGTGTTTTGTTAGAAACGCCCATTTGTGACTGCAAGCTGACAAGCATCGACTGTCAAGTCAACGCCAGATGTTCATGGCAAGCATGAGGCACCTGTTTAGATCTCAGTGCGGCGCCTGCTTTCTGCACCGTTGCCTTCCAGCGCGCCAGTGCTGCTCGCATGCACTCCACCTGAAGAGCTGGGCGGACATCCTCTGAGCTCTCGCGAGACACTTGGCTCGACCCCCAAGCTGGACGGATGGCGACTCCAACACATTCCATGTTGCCCCTGCCTATGATTACGTGCTGGCAAAACAAAGACGGAGCATGGCGTACAAACAAGTACATGCCAGAATTGCAGGAGCCGTACGGCACGTGTCATAGTTTGCAAAAACACGATGGATCGAGCAGCTCTGGATGCACCCTGCAAGCAAAGCCAAGCCTTTTGCCGGCGGCGGAAGATGCAAAGCAGACTGCCCACTGACCTTAGACGCTGGGTTTTTTCCAGCGGGCCTAACCAAAGTCGATTGGTTGCATCTGCTCGTTGCCACGTGTTTCATGGTTACGGCCAGGGACCCGGACTGGGAACCGCAGGCAGACATGCCTCGCTTCGCTTGAAATCGAATCAGAACCAATCAGCTCTCACCCTCCGGCAAAGACACAAGCCCTTCTTCAGCTTCGCAGTTTCAGGCGAACCCCTCGCCTCTCAACGCCGGACTGGGCTTGGCCTTGCACGGAGCACAGACAAAGCGCAACGGTGATCAATGCAAACATCAAGAGCTCAGGGCAAACGGGATGTAATCCAATTGTTTGATGCAGAGGCCAGGGATGTATCATGCAAAAAGCCGGGGGTGAAAGGAGTTCAGGGATGTGCCCAAAATGATGGGATCTTGCAATGTGGACTACGATGCCAGATTCAAGTGCAAGTGCAATATCAGCTTCCAACTCCACCCCTCTGCTCTGACTTTGCATGCACAATCTAGTGCTTGTGATTTACTTCACGCGAACTCATACAGCTTCTTGCAGTTCTTCGTGGCACTGCTCTTCAGCTACCGTCAAGCACGCTTGTTTGGCATAAACGACAAGGTTCTGCGGCTACTTAGAAGGCCCATCCCGAAGAAACAGCCGAAAGTTTTAACAACTGAGCTCCGTGACTTAACCAACATCTTGTTCTCGGGACTTAACCCTCTGCGCAGCATCTAAGTGCACTCCGCTCCCAAACTTGAATCAAGGCATTAAAGGCTAAGCAATCTTTCCCTCAGGTCAGATCCTACAAATTGGCCAGCTTGATCGCCAATCCCTTGCCCATGCTTCAGACATTCGCAACACCCGAGCGCTTGCATATGCAAGGAAGAGACCGCCCCAGCCAGGCCTCAGGGCTGAAGGGCCGGGTCTTGCGACCATCACATGGTGACCAAGGCCTCAGTGAGACAAAGTCAAGAAAAACCAACTGCATCCGGGAATGGGGATTCCCACCCAAAAGTTCAACTTGTTTTTCGTTGGCTAGGCAGAAAACAGTGGCGCCTAGGAGGTATTTTGCTTCGAGCTGCAAAAGAACGGACAAGAGCCGAAGCTCCCAAACCTCTTTTTCCATGTCCTTTCCCTCTTGATGGCTGCGCCATCGTCTGAAAAGGCAATTCATTCCCCACCCGTCAAATGAGGTTCGATTTGATTCTTCTCTCCGCCCACTCCAGCCGACTGCCGGCTCGAGTCAGAGCCGGCTGAGTCTCATGGCTGGGAAGGTTCCCCTGGACCATCAGTCTGAAGCTCTGAGTGCCTGGCCTCCGAAGTGCGCTGCTCCCTCGGGTGCAAATTGGTGTCCCGGCGGTACAAACCCGTCATTTCAGCGTTCGGCCAAATCAGCAGGTACCGAATTTGCTGCAAGCGTGATAGTTTCCAGCAGAACTGAAAAGACTTCTGCTGCAAACACCGGTCAAGTGCTGGCAAATCCTGGCTTTGGCACAGCATGAGACCAGCACGCATCGTTTACTGGCCACGCTGTGCAGTTGCTACAGCTCAAGTGCTCTCCAGCCTCGCCCGACAGCGTCTGTTTTCGCCTGGTGAATAGGACAGAGCTGGTGGTGAGAAGCAGCCACTGCAGTGGCTACAACAAGGAGTATGTTCTACCTGAGTGCTGGCAAGAATACAAGCAAGAAAGGCAATCAAGGCCTGCTGCAGCATTCACCATCAAGCCGAGGGGACCCCCAGCCCAAGCATCAGCCTGTTTTATGCATGGCACCAGGTCTTCAATGTCAGCAGTGATCAGACCGATGTTGAAGTGTCAGACCAAGCCCTGGTCCCCGTGCGCTAAATCGACGGCAGCAACGCGTAACGAGGTCTGCCTTTCTCCGCTGCAACTCCAGCAGCAGCATGCGTTGCTCGGCCCGGAGCCGGTACAACTCCTCCATGCCGCGAGTTGGGGGGAACCCTGGTCCAGTTTCATCCCCATGCCTCTGGAAACGAATCCTGCTTCTTCCAGCTGGGGGCGGGAAAAAAGAGGAAAAAAACGACTGCGTGAGTCCGCGTGAGTCCGCTACTAAAAGGCCTGGGGACGACCTGGTTGCCCACTGGTGGCCCCCTCCTTCAGTTCCTCGCTGCCTCGAGGCTCGCCTGGTGCCACCAATTCACCTCAACGAGTCAAGCCACAGCGAGTCTCCACCAAATCATGGCAAGAAAACGGAGCTGCAAAGGGGGCCGGTTGCATTCATGGCTGCGAATGTCAAAATCGCAGGTTTGGTTTGGCTCAGATTGGCTGGCATTGAGAATGCGGGTGCTGGACAACTGCGATTGTAACGAAGGAAAGATTCACAGGCCGCAGCTGGCACAAGGCTCCACCCCACACGCACGGAGAAGTGAATGGAAGTTGCCCGGTAGCCATATCCAATTCCATTCACTTCCACTCTTCTATCATTCCCTCCCAGCAGGTACATCAGGAGGGGATTCTCTTCACCTTCACGTTTCAAAGCTTGTGGAATTGGTCGGCCACGGTGTAGTGGCGACATCCAGGACTTACGCCTCCCACTTTCGTGGAGGAAACCTGGAAAAGCCCCGGCCGATCACCGTCACCTTGTACTGACCGATGCGTGCGGACCATGATTAAACTGATGTTCTGTCATTATCTCGGTCTCTGCTTCTTGACTTGCATCTCCGCATGAAGAAACCACTGAATACGGCGCGTGCGTTCAGAGACCCGAAATGCAGAGTCTCTCTATGTTGCCCAGCCCATGCCCCCTTGTTTGCCAGTTCTGAGAATTGTCATCCACACGCACACACCCAACAAGAACATGCTCTGTGCGGAGCAATTGAGGTGAATCCCTGGGTTCTTGCGACCCAACTCAAAGGATGCAAAGCTTCCTGGGTACAAGTGCCTCTGCCGGCTTCCGCGATACAAGTCGCTGCTAGAACTGTGAGAGGATGCTTCCGGGAACATGCTTTGCTTACTTTGCAAGCCACGTCTCCCGTTTGGTGTAAGAAAGACAGGATTGTGTGTCTTCAGCGAGCAGGTTTGGAGCAAAGGCTGGCTGAGAGCAATCTGGCCATGGGTCAACATCCAAATCGTACCCCCAGTGAACCTCGCAATCCAACCTAAAATAGGTTCTAAAATGGGTGGTGAATTCACCTTACCAACCAAAATGGGATCCCAAAACGGTCTTGACCACCACAGCCATTTGGAAGTGTCCCATATCACACTCACAGCTTAAGGCGAAACGGAGCATCCGACTCGACTCTTCGGCCGCGATCTCTCCGCCTGCGCCGCCGGGCGGAGAGCTTGGCAAGCTCTCAGCGCGAGGGCTGGGCTCCTGAGGCTCCCAAAGCTCTCACGTTTGGAGCGGGGCCCTGAGACATGCAATCCGCCCTGAGACACGCGGGCATTTTTGTTTGCGCTGGCACGTGCTTCGGAGCGCACAAAAACTGCGAGGAGCCATGGTGTTGGTCCATATGGCTGTGTCAAAAATGGGTACCCAAAATGCAACCCTGGCAAATGGAACCCTGGCAAATGGAACCCAGGATTAAAACCTGGGTGGTTTCATTTTGACCCACACCCATATCCACTCCACTCCCACGAGACTTCGAGTCTGGGTCGCCTGCTCCGAGCCACTGAGTCCAGCAATCCTCAGGCAGGGTGCTGCTCACGGTGCTCTGGCTGCGCGTGCAAGCCGCAAGCTGCAAGCTGCTGCTGTTCTCCCCCCGGTCGATTGGCAGAACATGGAATTTAGAGGGACAGTGATGGAGGTGGCGTCGGCAGAGAGGTCAGGGTGGGTCATGAGTTCAACAATCTGAGCGGACAAACCGCATCCCGTTTGTGAAAGTGCCAATCTCTGAAGCATAGATGAGGAGTGTGCTCTGATTGCTGGTAATACAGACATGTGCCGCGAGGATTCCGTCACACGGAATTCTCGTGTTGCGGTACCAACCAGAAGCTTTGTAACGCCAGGCATGCAAGCCAAGCCTGAGCTTCTCGCTTGGATGCTGTTCAGGGTCTTCGAAATTCCCATCGCTGTGTGCATCAAGTCCTGGTCAAAGGTCGCCAGCCCACCTCGGCACAGGGGCGTAAGTGCACATGCGCGACAACCAACAGCCCTTCAAGCGGAGTCTGCGCTTGTTGTCTCCATCGAAATGCCCCAGCATTTGACTTTCTGCAGAACCCTTTTGCATGCAACAGCAGAAAGTCAGTGCAATGTCGAAGCTCAGCCCCATGCATTCAGCCAAAGTCAGCAACCGTCGCTAGATCATCGATTCAACGCGCAGCCCGAACATATCACTTGCTATCTTGAAAACACTCAGTTGCCCAAGCCTCGTTGGTCCTCCTGGGCACTGGCTGTAGATGGTCCATCCTTGGCCTGGTGCAGAACTCGCTATCGCATGCGTATGGATGCTCGGCTCCTCTGTGTGGCAGTGCGGCTCACTGAATCAATCGCAAACAATTCCGGCCAACAGCAGGAACACGCCTTTCGGCGGGGTTTGCTTTCTGAGTTGCCCCAATTGGCAACTCTGTGCATTCAAGACCTGCAAGTTGCGGGCCTTCAAGGCACCTGCGGGAGGCCGGCCACCTAACCTTGGGAACAGGACGAATACAGATGCGGATACCCTGAGCTTCTTAAAACTGTCCGAAAATTCAAGCGATTGCTCTCAAACTGAAACCTGCATCCAGTCCAGTGTGGTCGGCTCAGTTGTACAAAATACTAGGTGGGATCACAGCATGCTACAAGTTGTGTATGTTCGCTTACCAAAGAAGCTGAAGCTTTACTTTTAACCTAGCTCATTCACTCAGGTCAACATGGAGATAGCCCGGCGTGTGATATGCCATGCGCCCAGCTTCGCATTTTTTTGCAGCCAATTGGTGGTACATTAATGATAGCTCTATCCGCAATGCTAAAAGCAAGCCATGCTCTCGTTAGCGGCTACGCAAGTCCAAAGGCGTGCGAATCCTCTTGAGTCGCCACCGTGAGAAGGAGTTGAGCAGTCACCTCATAATCAAGCAAAATATGTCGATGTCACAGGGCTAGAGGGGCCAGGGTTACCATGAAGATTGGAAGTGTATGAGCAATAACTGTTTAAGGCTTTTGGAAAGGGTCCTGCTGTGACATCCGTGCCATCAGCCAGCGGTGAACAGCAGCGTCAGTCCAATCAGGACTTGACGTCCCCCGTCGCCTTGTCCATGTGCTTTGCTGCATAGAGCGCGATCTTTGCGTCCGCTCCGACGGTGACAAAGAAGCGACCGTCGCTCGGGGCAAAGGCTGTATCCATGACACAGCCTTTATGCTCCGAGAAGCTTTGCAGCAATCTCTGGGTCCGGTAGTCCCAAAGTTTCACTACCCCGTCCCATGCACTGGATACTGCAACAGCCCGACGCACATCTGGACAGAAACTCACGGATGTGATTCGGGCACGGTGGCCCGGAAAGCGCTCGAGCGAAGGGCGTCGACCGCGATGAGCCCAGTGCGCTACATCCATCAAACAAATATTTCGATCATCACCTTGGTGGAACTGATGGCAAAAACCACATGGCAAATGCTAAATCAGCAACTTAAGCAACCTCTGTCGGAGCAGAAAAGAAAACTGGGTCGTGTACACAAGTTGCACCACAAGACCCTTGCGGTACTGTCCTGAAAGGGAATGGTTTCTGTGTTGTTGTCCTGCTTGAAACAACAACTCGACGATATGATTTCAACTTTGCGCAATGTCAGCAGTGCCAACAAGAAGTAGTCATGGAAAACAAAATGGCAGCCAACGCGTGCAAGCAAGCAGCCTCCACTCAGGAGAAATCGGGAACTCTCGTCAAAGGACAGTGATCTCACAGCGCCAGTCTGCATGTGAGCTTGCAGGTCGGGCGAAGCCCATTGCATGTTGTCCAACTGCAAGAGTCCAATATGACCTTTGAGGCAGGGTGGAATTCTGCCCATGTTCTTGTTATTGCTATCGCGATAACGCTTCCGGACATTATCGTGATTGTGATAGCGATAAATTGGCATTATCGCCCGTCGACAGAAAATCTATATATATATATATATATAACATATGTGAAATTATTAAGGCTGATTCAGCACAATATGTTCAGTTCATGTCTGCAAAACATACGTCAAGACCAACAATGTTGGACCCTCCTCAATGTGACCCCACCCCCTCCAACAATGGAACCACTCCCCGCGGTCCTCTTTAGTGAAAATTCTAGGGGTCTGAGTGGGACCTGGACTTGCTAGTACTTACTTTAGTATTGCCAAGACTAAATTTAGCATGGCCGAGCCGTACTCTCAGATTCCCAGTACTTACTTTGGTATTGCCAAGCCGAAATTTAGTATTGCCAAGCCTTACTCTCAGATTCCCTGTGCTTGCGTTTGTATTGCCGGGACTAAATTTGGTATAGCCAACACTGACTCTCAAATTCCCAGTACTTAGTTCAGTATTGCCAATTATAATTTGTCAAGGAAGAGCCCGTTTTTCAGCAACCCCAAAAAAAGTTGGACACTAAAGAGGACCCCAAAACAGCACGTTCAAGAGGATCAGGTCCTTTTGTGGGCAACTCCTTTTGGTGCGACTGTTTGCCCTTGCTTGCTTGATTAAAGAGGATCAGGGCCTCTTGTGGGCAACCCCTTTGTGTGACAGCTTGCCCTGACCTTCTTGCAAAGTTATCAATTTGCTGGTTTGGGGCACCACTCCAGAGAAGGAATTCCTAACGTTTGCCCGGATTTGTTTGCCCGCTTTTTGGGCAGTTGTTTTTTGCCCGGATAGAGAACCAAAACAGTCACAAGATCGAATTAGGGAAACAACTTTCTACAATAGAAGGCCCCTATCATTCAAGGAGGTGTAACATTAGTCTCCATTTGCAGAAGTGGCCCTGCAACCACATCATCATGCAGGTGGATTGTTTGCGCGCAATGCTGATCATGCTGCCTGTGTCCTGGTGGTTCCCTTTCCGTCTTCCCCCTCACTCCACCCACTCTGCAATGCTCCGTCCACTTTGATGTTTCTTAACTTTCCTCTCTCGGAATCGTGTCAGAATATGACTTCCGCTGCCTTGAACGATCCCCTGACTAGGTAAAGCATTGATGTTTTGAGATGATCCTGAAGCAATTATGTCTTACACTCTACGTAGATATAAGTATTGTGACAATACCCCAGAACAAAATCAATTGTCCTTGTTTGTCAGCATAAGCGACTGTGTCAGAAATCCTTGCAGTGCTGTCCTGCAACCCTACAAGCTACAATACTCCGTGAAGATGGATTGGTTCACAGAGAATATGGTCAGAAACGACCGGTTGCTTGTGGCCCGCAACGGACAAACATTTGGAACTCCCTAAACCCAACTCCAAATCCCAACCCTAAACCCCACGGCAATAAAGCTGGGATGAGACAGACATGGCAAGCAGCACTCAAGGATACATTCGAATGCAGCAATACTACTGCACACATGACGCGTAAGTCAGAGTTGCACTGCACGCCAAAGCATCATGTAGGCTTAAACAAAATGCCTGTCCTGCAAACCTACGACCGTCTCTGTCAATGCAGAGATCCTGGCAGGGACCCGATCTGAGTAGTCCTGGACCCACTACCGCCTGTCTGAGAGATTGAGGGAGGCTCGTTGCAAGGCGAGTGTATCAAATTGTTGCAACACTATAGCACCATAGTCAACCAAATTCCCACTTGAACCTGACTCGACAATGTTACAAGAACTACAACAGCAGCAAAATTGGGAGGACTCTGGGGTGGCCCTGCTGGTACATACTAACATACCAGAACACGTGTTCTAGGAGAGGACTCATCGATTGGTGGAAGAGATCCTTCGCATCAATCTTCAAGATGCACTGCAGTTTAAGATCAAGCGGACAAACCCTGTCTTCATCAGGCTCATTCTCTCACTGCCACCTCATCGCCGCGCCTGAGTCACGGCCACAAGCAAGCAGTCGCCCGTCCGGACTTCCACAAAGACTAGATATTCTCCCTACTTGTGAAAACGTAGTCGCCACTTTGTTTCCATCCAGCCGCCTGCGCTTGTGCGACTCACCATTCCGCAACTCCTCGCCGGTGTTAGGAGCAATCTCCCTCTCCACCTGCTGCTTCCGATGGTTCCACACACAGACCTTCCCGGAGCTTCCTCCAGTGACCAGATGGTCCCCCACAAAGGCGACCCGGTTGGCCTGCGCGATCAAGGACTGCAGCACCGCGGGGCTGGGATCTCGGAGGTCCCACAGCAGCGTCTGACCATCCTGGGTGCAGACCGAAACCCGGTCCCGCGAGCTTGAGACGGCCATGCAGCTGGGCGTGGCACATGGGAGATGGCCAGAGCTGGTCAGCTCCCCCTCGTGCAGCCGCCAAAGCTTCACCCCAGGCCGCGCCGAAGCCGTCAGGATCGTGTCCCCCGTGCACTCTGCGAAGAGGATGGGGCTGCCCCGGCGCCGCAGCTCCTCGTCCGAGGCCGTCGTGGCCATCTCCCATTGTGCCTCTGAAAATGCACCATTGGCCATGGGAAGCCAACTCCGGCCATGCACACAACAAAACCCTGCTCCATGAGCCAGGCCGTCCTGAGCCAAAAGTGGCCCAGCATGACACACATCTCCGACTGCGATGCTCGCAGGCCGAAGTCACGAAGTCTCCAGGCAAAGCTTGCACACGCAAGGACTTGCTAAGCCAACAGCAAAAGCGGTCTCACCTGCGGAGACGTAAGATTCCTGAGTCCAAAGGCAACGCCGAAGCCAAGAGCATCAGGGGAACCGAGGACCAAAATGCTAGTGGCCCTTGGAATCCCGAAGCATGCGGGAGGAAGCGACGACCATGACGCGGATCGCTGCCACTCACAGCTACTGCAGATGCAACCGATTACAGCTTTGCTGGCTCCAAAAGTGCAACAAGGTTGCACTTGCCAAACAGGCGCGTCAAGTCCAAAAGTGGCCGGCGCTAGTCATTTCAAGCCGCACTCAGATCAAACCAACATGCCGGAAGAGTCCGTGCCATCTTGCCAGGTTGACAACATGCTAAGACCAGTTCCCACAGGTCAATGCTGCAAAGGCAGACCTCACGGGCGAGAATATCTTCCGCCTTAAGCACGCCACACAGCATTCAATTGTATGTTGCCTTTTCAGTTGTGTCTGCCACAATTTGCCCAATGCTTTGACAGCTTGCCCTAACTATCTTATCTACACCTTAGATTCAATGCTGTGCAAGTGTCTCACAAGCCTCCACACGAAATAAACGGCGCGTTGTCAGCTAAGACTGTTGATTGGCTTGTCGAAAAAGGCTTCATGCAGAGACCTACACCTTCCGTCGTGTTGTGTTGCATCTTGTCCATCAGTCAAGCTTTGTAAGGCAGCGCAAAGGCTGCTTCAGCAAGAGCACTGACTCAATGATCACAGAAGGGAAGCTGAGCTAGCAACTAGTTCACTAGTTGTCTAAAGTGAGGTGTCGGAACACATGATAGCGGTTGGTATCTTTGTTCACAGCACACTTCTGGCTTTGCCTACACAAACAAACAAACAAACAAACAAACAAACAAACCCACAAACCCACAAACCCACGAACCAACAGACAAACGAACAAAAGAAACGCAAGCACGAACACCCACCCGAACGCTCGCAGGCCCACGCAGCCATGCACATCGACGGGTTTTCTGAGGCCACTGCGCCGGCGACCCAGGCGGCGCCACGGCCGGCGTTGGCGCCGGCGGTGCCGGGGAGCCTGCCAGACGTAAGGCGACGGCACCGTACTGCCCGTGTAGCCCTAGAACTAATACCCAAATACCATGTTAGCCATATAACATATGCCATATGGGGCTTGATCAACAACTTCTTTCATTGGGGTGACCATTCGGGGGGCACATCTTTCAGTGAGAGGCAAAACGAACAAGAAATGAGCACGGGGGAAGTGCCGCAGGCGGGCCCAGTCGAGAAAAGAAAGAAATTTACACAAAAGCGCTCCGGTCAGAATGAAGACGGGATAAGCAGACGGGAGAAGCAGGCGGGAAGACAACTTCTGAAAAGATAGCCTTGCATACGAGTAAAAGAGTAAGCTGTTAAGTACACTTTGGCAGCTCCAATCGCAGCGGATAAGTGCAAGTGATGCATGCAAAGTGCTCTTTTGGCAGCTCCGCCTGGAATATCGTACTTGTTTTAGGAAAAGCCATATCTTTGACAACTCCAGTTGAAACTGTGCCATCGGAATTTGTCAGTACAAGTGTAGGACACAAAGTACACCTTGACAACTCCAGCTGGAATGTCGCAGGCTTTCAGCACAAGATAGTAGCTGGAACATCACAACTTTCCGAACAAGCATAGACACCTCATATGTGGAAACTAGCAGCAATGTCTGCGCAGCTCAAGGTCGCTTGCATCATGATGACAATGTGGAGCCATGCGCCACATGTCCTGGCGAAGCCTGGAATAGCTCTATGCCCACGCACTCTGCAGAGCACGTTCCGACAACGCAGAGCCCGCATGTTGGTGAAGCCGCAAGGCGCCTTCAGATTGCAAGGGGCGCGTCGAAGGCTCCTGCGAGCCGCAGCCGGTGAAACCGTTTCGAGTCTCGATTCAAAGGCACATGCTTGGGGTCCTCTGGCCCTCGCTGAGAATGATCCACTGGCACACCTACGGGATAGCAGCTGTCTCTGATCTTGGAGGCATTTCTGGGAATACGGGGAGGTGGTTGCCAAAATATCCTAGATGCTTTGTGTGAACATGCAATCCCGAAGAACTGCACAGGTCCCCCGGCTTGTTTTTGCGGCAGGCACACGCAAATGTCCCTCCAGTCGCAGAGCCATCATCATGATTGCTCCCAGACACCACCAGGGCAGGAGGAGCGCGTCGCTGTACATGCGCAAAATTTAGGTGTCTTCTGTACAGACCTGCCTGTTATTGTGAATTCCAGAATCGCGCTTGTCATGCCATGCCAAGCTTCAAAAAAAGTTGGCCAGCCAAGACTTTAATGCTTGGCGAATACGTTTTCGTTTTGGAAGCTTCTCCGACCGAGACACCTCAGAAAGGTCGTCCAGGCATTCGACAGAAGGAAGCTCCGTAATCTGATGCAAGTACGCCAAAAAGTCATGGAAGGAGATTGCTCCATCCCTGTCAAGGTCCGCCTCGTCAAAAACTGCAGCCACATCAAATTCATTGCCCAGCACCTGGCGGATCTTCTGTTCGAGACCAAAAAGGGAAGACATCTACCACATGTTAGATGGCGCTGGCCTCTTGTAGCCTTGCAGGGGTCAAGTGGCCAACGCCCTCCAAGTCAAAGTGCCGAAACGCGGAGCGTGCAACGTCCTGGCAAATGCGGGGCAAACAGGCAAGAAAGTGTCAGTTGCTCTCATGCAATTCTTGTATGCAAAAGAAGCCTGGGGCGATGGTGCGATGAAATCATCTGGCTACTCTCCAACAGCAAACAACCGCAAATCATGTGGCTGTGGGTCAAAACCCTGTACCCCTGGTGAACATCAAAATAGGTGGTACATGGGTGTTCATCCGCCCCAAAATGGAGCCATAGGTTATGACCCATGGCCATGTGTTGCACAGCCTCTGTGGGTGAAGTGCCAAGATTCTACTTGTATTCCCAACCCAAAAGCTTCCATCTTACAAAAGAACCCATCAAGAAAATCCAGGAACATGGTTGGCCCACATCAAACTGAGCGATATCAAAGTGACCATGTATCCTGTTCTCCCACGCGGGAGTCAACCAGCGGCAATGTCTCAAGGCACGAATCTAGTGCCCGCTGACAGCACGTGCCGCCGGGCCTGGTGCAGGAGAAAAATACCGTCATAAGCTATCAGCAAAACAAAGAGTTGCTGGTGTGAAGCGCAACTATTGTGCTGAATCTGGTATTGGCTCCTCATGCTGCTCTGACTCGCACGCCATCATTGCTGCCAGGAAGTCACTGTAGTGGATCTCTTCGGGCAGAAACTCCATGATGGCATCAAAGTCCTCTGAAAGCTGAGAGTCTATATACAATCTTGGTGAGCTATCATTGGTGATGTGAGTCTACGTATAACTTTGTGAGTCTATATTTCATATACAAACCTTTATCATGTGTGTTTTTGTTTGACGCCGCGTCGGTATCTCTGTGGTAATTGAGCTCTAAATGGTGTGTGCGTGTGTATGTTCATTGTTTGTGACTAAATTGTTCGTTCTCGCACTTTTCAAGCACAATGCTGAAATCCAACGTTGCGAATTGCCGTTTTCTTTGAGCCTGTGCGCGGAAGCAAAGGCAATTCAAAGCTCAACAACGCGTGTGCGCGGAAGCCCGTGGAAGTATTTTGAAGTAGAGTCTCGCGGAAGGTAACCTGCGTGCGGAAGCGGCGCTGAAGGTTGCGCGGAACCTGCAATGTCAAGAGAGAATGCCCGCAGTGTAGAACTCTGAGAGAAGCCAGTAACATCTTGGGCGAAATGAGGATCATGTGCCGCGTGCTTCAAGACTCCTTGGTCATCAATGACGGCCGGGTTTGAGGCTTTGGAAGAGAAAACCATGGGAAACGCAAGGAAACACGCCTTGCTGCAAGTAGTGCGTGCAGTGATGTTGGCTAACCTCCATGAGAACGTATCCACATCGGGGGGCCAGGCGTCCGGCCAAATAAAAGCGTGTTCTTGGCCTGGTGGCTTGCCAGGATGAGACCCCACGAACAGCCGAGTGCAGTCCTCCTTGCCCACGGAGAGCTTGGAGAGGTATTCCTGGAAACGCGCACGTGCGGCGCAAGAAGGACATCACTACTATGTCACTCAGCAGATTTTCCAAATATCAATGTCTGCTTGCGGGCATTGGCACAGCGGAACCCACGCCCTAGAATTATGCAGACCAGAACTTATCCATAGACGCATGCCTCAAACATGAAGCAGCCACCAAATCTCAGCATCGCAAAACAGCAAGATTGCTACAACAGACTAGGCGACGTCGTAGAGACCTTGAACCCTCGAATCAACTCCGAGGTTGGGTTCGACTTTGCTCCAACAAGCTGTCACGAGTGTGATTCATCCTCAAGCCACTTCCTGCGTTCTGCGCCAAAAACTTTGCCCTTGGACCCAACGGCTGGCTACGTCTCTCTCGTCTCCCGCCTGCAGCTCTTCCCTTGCGATGACGCCGTCGGTGCTGAGGCGGATGAAGGCGCCCCGCAGCCTTCTTCGCTCCGCCAGCGTCAGCGACCAAGCCATGGCTTGCAAGCACGCCCTCGGCGGAGAAAGAGGAGTCCATACAATAAGACCAAAGCGACTACCCTCCCTTCCACTAACATGGCAGCTGTTGGAGGGTACCTGGAAGATAATTTTCCTCTTGTAGGGACCCCCTGTCAGGTGCCATGATAGTGGGAGGGAGGGTAAGCAACGCAATCTGCCGGGCCAAGAAACGTTAAAAACCAGGTCTCTGGTGACGACAAAGAGACATGGAAAACAAACAAACAAAGCTGAGAGGTGTGCCCGAAAGGCCAAGCAAGCAGTTGTGACTGCACTGGGCTCACAAGTTCGAGGACTGTTCAGCCATTTGTACGGTGTTTGACCATCTGTTGGCAATCTACTTTTTGAGCAAAGTCAAAGCTTGTGACTGCTTCCCCTGGAAGACTTTCTGCAAAACAGACCTGATTCATATCAACCCGTGCCTCTGGAATCTGCTTGCGCGAGCAATATTCCGGAAGCCAGTGACCACAGTAGTGCTTCTGACACCAGGCACGGAAGCCTTCATAGAGTGAACCCAAGGATGTCTCAGGGCATCTTCTGCTTGCCTCAACTGCAGTAGAGACACACAACGGAGAAAAAAAATGATGGAACCAGCTAGTCGATCCAGTTGACGGAACCAGTTGTTTGACAAGAAAAAAAAAAAACACAAAAAGATGCCACTCAGAGCGCCACCCATCACATGCAGTGGAGTGACATGCGCTTCGCTGGATCCACCACAAGCAGTCGAGTAACAAAGTCCTTCCCATCCTTGGACACGTGAAACCATTTCCCCGGCTTCATCCAAAAGCGTCCGGTCTTGATCGCTCGGGCAGTTCCCACGTCGCTGCCTCACGGGTCATTTTCCGCAGTTGCTCTCAACAACAAAACTTATGACATCCCTCACGCAGCTCACCTTATCTATTCTCATTGGTCCATACTCTCTCAGCTCGCTCGCTCGCTCAGCTCGCTAAAAGTTCAATCAGCTCGCGCCTTGGAAGGGCATCTCTCCACTGAGCAGCACGAAGACAATGACGCCCAGGCTCCACATGTCACAGGAGCCAAGGCAATACCTCTGCCTGAGGACTTCTGGAGCCACGTAGTTCATCCTTGAGCTCGGCTGGGCGGCTCGGCGTGCTACGTTCGAAATATGTTGCAAGGCTCGGCTTTTTGGAGTTGACCAAAACGGAAACCGTTGCCATTTCGGGAGGTCGCCTAACAAAAAAGCCCCATGTTTCAAGGCAGCTTGGCATATCTTGATGTCGGGCTCAGCTATGCGACGCCCGACATCTTTTGCGGGGACAAGTCCGGGATTGCAAAGAGCAGGGCAGGTCAAATTTCTGACAGGTGCAAAACTCATGATCTCTGCCACGCTGGCGCTCCGCATCTTTCCAGGCCAAGGGGCGTGCCCAAAGCCTCCTTCATGTGCTTCTTCTGATGAAAGAACTTGCCTGAGCTGCATCTGATTTGCCAATTCCTCAAACACCCAGACTTCATAGCCAGGTGCCATTCATTTTGGGTCAGAAACACCTTCCAGGTAACTCAAGCAAAACAACTCCAGCGGCATCCTATAAAGGGCCCTTCTTTGCCTTCTTATCTTTGCATCTAACTCTCCCGAGCTGCTGAAGCCGAAGTCGATCAGCTTCAAGAAGTCGCTGCCGGATGCGTCGTAGAGGAAGTTTTCCAGCTTCAAGTCGCGGTGCACCACTCCGCTGCGGTGGAGGTAAGACACCGCCTGCAGCATGTGCCACGTCGCCTCGCGGCCATCTGAAACCCGCGGTGAGAGGTCCGAAACGTTCCAAAGATCAGCCTCTGCGACGGGTCCAAGGATGCTTAGGAGCTTCGGAGATTGCGAATTGTCTCATTTGCCTTCTCAGATATGGTGTGTCTTCGGCTAAAGGCAATGCATGATCACACTAGCATGCAAAAGGCGCTCTTCGAAAAGAACAGCACAAACGCCCGCGCATTGCTCGCTGAACAAGCCTCTCTTCCTTGGTTGTTGTTTCTTGCAGGGGGATGTGCCCCAGTGGAGCTTCAAAAACGACCTTCTGCATCTAGGATAGTTTTGGTGATTTTATTTGCCAAAAGAAGCGGCTGGTGCTCATCTTCCGGTGACACAGTCGCGCTTGGTGACATTCCGTGTTTGACCTCTCGCGGGCATGGCGCCTAACCTCTTCCGGATGGCGCTTGCCAGCAAAGCCTTTGGTGCTCCCCCTGGCCGTCATCAATGCCATGGGTGCTGGCTGGTGGCAGCACACCTTGGACCCCCCTGCGGAGGCTGTGGCGTAATTACGAGGGGCTGCGAAGTCTGAGCCTGCCTCGTGTGGGAAGCGCGTCAAACTGCGGCTTTCAGAGCGGGAGGCGGATGTCGGCCTTCACCAAGATCGCAATGGTCCCGGCTCGGGCGGCTCGGGTGCAGGTCTGGCGGACTTGGTTCAGGTCGCCAGCCGCAGGCGCCGCAGGCGCCGCTGCCCGGACGAAGAAATTGCAGTGATCAGAAGGTTGCGGCCAGCGCGTCGTAAGCTGGGACTTGATGCTTGGTGGCTCCTGGTGGATTGCAGAGAGCTAGCGCCTGGACTTCTGTCTTGTCCTTTCTGCATGGGCACGCGCTGCAGGCGCTCGAGGTTGGAGGCTTTGCGTTGTCTGACTGTATGTAAGACGCTCTTGCTGTGGCCGAAACTTCCTGTGTTTCAGGCCCTGGTCTCCAAGGTTTGTTTTCACCTCAAAGTGGAGTTTTTCCTTGGCCACAGACTTTGTTGACTCGTGGTTGTGGTGGCGACTGACGCGACTCCTTTTCAATGTTCAACCCAGGAATGGCCCCTCAATAATTTGGTGGGGATCCTGCCGGGTTTGATTTTGCAAGGAACCGTTGGGAATACCACACATGTTGACAGCACCAAGATCCAACCCACCAAACAGCCTCCAACGAATATACCTTGCCACTCAACCTCTTTCAAAACCGCACAGCCTTCCCTACAACTGCAACGTTGTCTGGACAGGGACTTCTTGTCAAAAGCCCGCCGTCTAACATTCATTCATCCATGGCATCAATGTGCCAAATACGTTCAAATCCATTTTGAGTACATGCTTCCGTTTACCACATCTTTAACCCACAGCCAAGTGATCAACGCAGGGAAGGCATATCCTCCCCGCCTGCGCCGCCTGGTGCTCTGACTGGCGCGCATGGGCCACGCGGTCAAAGAGCTCACCGCCCTGAGAAGCGTGCACTCGGAGAAAGCAAAACCCGTCCCAACCATCCTCAATCCAACTATCCCTGCAACTGTTGCGACTCTTGTGTCATCAGATTAATCTTTCTCTTTTCTGAAACTTGGCTGTTTCAACAATGTGCGTTGCTGCTGCCTGAAGGTTGTTTTGTCATTTCCTGAATCGTTGTGTTCATAAATGTCCTTTGTTTCCTGAGTTGTTCATCGCTCACCGCATTGCGGCTTCCCTTTGAGTCGACTGGAGAACTGGTATTTCGACAAACTGGCTGGCTCAAGATGACAGACAAGGGGTTTCTTTACTTTCATTCTGGCCATAAGGACGGTATTCAAAGGGGCGTGTTGGTATTTCTAACAATGTCTACGCCAACTTGCTTTCATTGGCAAGCTCAGCGACTCTGCATGCTTTCCATACACTGTTGCCATTCATCTACTAGAATCCATTTATCTACTAGAATCTGGGTATCACTGGCGATTGCTTCTTGTGTTGTCCTTCTGCTGAAAAACCTGAGACCTGCTACTGTCATCCTTGCGGACTTGCTTCAGAGATGCCCAGCCACAGGGCATGGCCAACTTCTCTCTCTCTCTCTCTCTCTCTCTCTTGCTCTGTCTCTTCTCTCTCTGTGGGATGTCTGTGACTTCCGTCAATAGAGCACCACTCACCGTGCTTTCCCTTTCCTGCTTCGCTCTCCGAGCTCGGGCTAGGCCTCCATGCACTCCATGACCAAGCTCAGCTTTGTACGGGACTCGTAGACGGCCAAGAGCCGCGCAATGTGCGGATGATCCAAGCTCAGGAAGACCTTCGGATTTTTCTCAAGCCCCGATCTCTGCGAAGAACTCGTGGGATTTCATGACTTACGTGTGCCTTCAGTCACGAAAAAAGTATTGCACACATACACGGGGGTTGATCAATATTCCATTTAGTTGGCCCCCCAATGACCATGGGTAACTTGTTCCATGTGGGAATGGTCATCTTTTTTGGTGGTTTCCCATGGTCATCCCATGTTCGGAGCTTTTGAGATCAACTCCACGCCTCCACTTCGGCGTAGAGGCGCTCACGCTGAGCCTCATCGAGCAGCCGCAGGTCATAAGCCTTCACAGCCACCCGGCCAGGCCCGTCCTTCGCTTCGAGCTCTCAGGTCGGAGATGCAAAGGAAACCCCCGCTGCAATGGGCGCTTTGAGGGTATTCCTTCTTGCTTGGTTAAGGGAACCCAAAGGAGAACCCAAACATATGGGGGGCTCCCCAAAAAAAGGACGCACCCACATGCTCGGTTTGTGAGGCTTCTGCAAATGAGAAAAAACGAGCTTCTTACGTCATCCCACAAGAAACTCATCTTGATCTCCTCCCACGGCAAACTTGGTAAATGAAGGCCAAAATCAATGTTTCCCTGAATCAGATATGCGCAAAATAGAGTGGGCTGTCTTCGTGGGCGCTAGAGGGGGAGGGGAGAGGGGGGAGAGGGGAAGAGAGCATCTGCACACTTCCAGAGAGGCTCCCGAAAGTGGGCCGCAAGCACTTCGCCGCTGCAGCCCGTGCCCAAGATCTTGCCCGTCACCTCGATGTCATCCTCCAAGCGCCGGCGTGTGACATAGCGACCCTGCACGGGCAACCTGAGAAGGAAAGAAGCAATGGCCCGAGCCCCAGAAACCTCTTCAATCCAGCTACCTCTTAATTGAGGTTCAGCAAGCGCGTTCGTCCTGTGCACTTTACACAGGAAGCTCAGGAACCACGGGACATGGCCTCAGAGAGCCTCTTGGACTCACACCGTTCAGCGTTTTGTGTCGTCACCTTCGACTCAAAAATTGGCTTCGTGGCGGGAGACTCGAGATTCAAGCGGACAAGCACCGAGCCGCATGGCTCGGAAAAGCAAATGCAACAGCTGAGGTTCTCCAAGCAACATGGGCTGGTCCTTCAAATCTGTATGGTGAATCGACATACGAGGCATGAGAAGAGATCTCTTGAGGCATAAGTGGAAACCTGGTATGCCAAGAGTGTTGCAATGTAAGCAATCAAAAGGGCGTACCTACTGATGGCTGGGACTGTCCCCCTACTAGCCTTCAGGTGGATTTGTTGTTGCGGCTGAGTCGTCGATGTCTCTTCTCCTCGCCCCATATCTCCCCCGTAGCTTGCAAACTGGCTCAACTACAGTACTCCAAACACGGGATCAGTCGCTGTTCCCTTGCTCCCTCCAGGGCGGTTCGTGCCAGCACGTTCGACCGTTCGACAACCCCAGGCCTGCCGACGCGGCCAATGGCCCGTGACTGTGCGGTGGCAAAACTCTTAGGGTCCGCAGCCATGGCGCGGTGCGCTGTAAACCGTGCACTTCAGGCAGCTCCCCTTCGCTTGCTCGCATTGAATTGGGAATTGCAATGCAGGCGGCTATAGATTGCAAGAAAGGCAACAAAAAATGCACAAATACAAGCAGCACAAGGCTTGATAGCTGCCCGCAAACAACCAGCTTGGTCTATCGTCACTCCACAGGAACCACGAGATTCTCTGCCCAAGTGGAGCCGGCCTGGATCTGGATCACTTTGAAGCGGCGGCTCCTGGCAAGGGAAAAAACCATGGACTCTTGATCAGGGCTGTGGGAAATGACCACTTCTGTGATACAAAAGAAAGGGTTTCCCAAAGACTAACCCCCAACATTAAGGGGGAGATTCCCTTGTATCACAGAAGTGGGGAAAAACCCCTTGATCCCACAACCCTGCTCTTGATCAACCCAGGCTAAACGGGAGGTTCCTCCCAGGCAAAGTTGCTTTGGGAGCCGGGCTGGGGGGTTGGACTGTGCCTGAGCCAGAGCCATTTCAAGTTGCCAGCCGGGCGGAAGTTTGAAGGTGAGTATAGCTCTCGTCGGCTTTCTCTTGTCCTTCTCTGTCTGGGCCTTTTCATTCTCTCTCTCTCTCTCTTTCTCTCTCTCTCTCTCTCTCTCTCTCTCTCTCTCTCTCTCTCTCTCTCTCTTTCTCTCTTCGTTGTACTTTCCATCTTTTCCAATCATCTTCCTATCCATCTTATGTACCTACAGTACTCTCTGTATGTATTTATCTATCTGTCTACCTATCTATCTATCTTTCTTTCTTTCTATCTATCTATGGGTCTATCTATCCAATCTACCCACATACCTATCCATCAATCTACTCTAGTCTAATCTAATCTATTCCATCCCATCTGCCGGTCTATCTATCAAAGCCTACCCTATCCTATCCTATCCTATCCTATCATATCCTATCCTACCCCACCGTATCCTACCTTATCTATCTAATCTATCTAATCTATATATCTGTCTATCTTTCTATGCATCGCATCTGCCGATCTTTTTCGCTCAATCAATCCATCAATCCATCCATGCATCCATGCATCCATGCATCCATGCATCCATGCATCCATGCATCCATGCATCCATGCATCCATCCATCCATCCATCCATCCATCCATCCATCCATCCGTCAATCCATCCATCCATCCATCCATCCATCCATCCATCCATCCATCCATCCATCCATCCATCCATCCATCCATCCATCCATCCATCCATCCATCCATCTATTTGTTTCTCTATCTTTCTATCTATCTAGCTATCTAGCTATCAATGTCTCTCTCTGTCTGTCTGTGTCTGTCAGTTTATCTACCTACCTACCTGCCTACCTATCTTATTCTCTCTCTCTCTCTCTCTCTCTCTCAATCTACCCGTCTATCTATCCAGTTTCTCTATCTATCTATCTATCGATCTGTCTATCTATCGATCTATGTATCTATCTATCGATCAATCTATCTATCTATCTATCTATCTATCTATCTATCTATCGATCTACCTATCTATCTATCCTACCAACCTATCTTTTCCCGCTATCCATCTAATCTATCTGATCTATCTAATCTGGTCTCATCTCTCTCTAGTCTACCTCTCTATCTTTCTCTTTGTGACGAAATCTGTACCTCGCCTTGCAAAAGCGACGCGCCCGCCACACAAACTCATAATATCGCAAAAAAAACTGTGCAGGTCCGCGCTTAGAAGATTGCAAAAGCGATCTCAAAAGCCATCAGCGCCAATGTATCAGCATGGTCGCTCATGCTCCAAAAGCCCATCAAGAATCCCACAAAGGAGGCACACCGAGGCCATGCTCTCTGAAATGTGCTTTGCATGAGGGCTGATGCCTGTGATGCTGCTTTGTCTGTCCTCGCGAATGCCACCCGCAGCAACCCAGGCGCGGGCCTCATCCACAGGACACGCCCTCTGGCCGGTGGCATGCCCCGGCAACCATATTGAAAAGGCCAGTTTCAGAAGGATTAATGATTAAACAGTTCAGCAGACGACTGGGATCAACAAATCTTGGTGAGCTGGCTGGGCCCGCAGAGGTTTCGCTGGCCAAAACCGCTATGTGGAGCAGCCGACATTGAAGCGAAAGAGCCGTTCAAATGATCAGGACAGGGCGGAGATTGATTTCCAACAAAATGCACACGTTTTACCAGAACCGTCAACATCCCCAGCATCAACACCCCTGGCATCCTCAGAAGCTTTGCCTTCGGCTGTAGGTCTAGGGTTTGTAGGTTTAGGGTGGTTTAGGGATGCTGCCTCAGGATGGGTTCAGGTTGGCCTACGGTGGGTTTAGGGTTGGTACAGGTTTGTTTAGGGTTGGTTTGGGGTGGGTTTTGGGCTGGGTTCGGCTTGGTATGGGGTTTGCTTCGAGTCTATTTAGGGTTACCCCCAAGGTTGGTTAAGTCAAAACGCTCAGCTGCTCACGTGCAGCTGTGCAATGAGTTCGTCCAGCTGCGCATGGTGCTCTTGCCAGCTTGGTCCTTCAAAGTGCAGCAGTCTCGTTCTTAGTCGCGGCTTCCAGCAGTTCCCACTTTGCAGATCCTGTTCATTCCTGCCTTGGAGTTTGCCGCTGGCTTTCGTGCTGGGAGCAAAGAAGTGACAAACACTTGGAAAGCCTCTAGTGAATCGGTGAAACGTAAATGGCATTATGGTTTCTCCTTTGGACACATACAAAGACCAGCAAAAGATCAAAAGACTTTGCTATCTTCAACTCTCAAATGGCTGTGGGTCAAAACCAATGGGATCCCATGTTGCTTGGTAGGTGAATTCACCACCCATTTTAGGACCAATTTTAGTGGTTGGATTGAATCGGAGGACAATTTGGATTTTGACCCATGGCCATATCATTGGTGCTAAAATAGACCAAAATGGGTGGTGAATTCACCTACCCCAAAATGGGAGCCAAAACGGTTTTGAAAACCACAGCCAAATGGCAAGTGCATCTGTTGAGCCGCTGAGCAAAAGGTCCTCGGCCAGGCCGCGCATTGGCCATGGCGCAACCACATGATGCGGCCAGCGCGAGAAGTATTTGGCTGGTGAAAAATAGGGTAACCCCAAAATGGGTTGCCCTGGTGAATGGAACCAAGGACTAAACCTGCGGTTTTTTGGTAGTCTAATTTTGACCCGTACCCATTCGGTTCTCAGAGTCTCTGGAGCTTCTGGCAAGCAAGTCTCCAGTTGGAGACATATCAGTTGTCACACTGATAAGAACAAATACTTGATCATAGCCAAAAGCCCGAGAAGGTATGACTTCTCTATGTGGAGCTTCTGGCACTTGCGCTTGTTGGGTTTTGCTGAAGCATGCACAAGAACTGAAGTGTAATCAGCATCAAAAGCAGTTCACGATGGCTGCATCTCTGAAAACCTCTACCCGAATGAAATCAAAGAAAGCAACTTGTACTAAACAATGATCAAAGTACGGGAGGTCCTTGAACGCAGTCCAAAGTGGGTGCCCTTTGCGCAAGGGAACTGTCAGGCTTCTTGAAACACTTACAAAGAGTGTCTGGGATGGATGTCTTCTGAGATGCGGCGTGGCTTCCTGGCGCGGCTCCAGGCAGCTGCAACCAGGCTGGGCCCCTTGGCCGTCCCGATCAGTCAGCCTATCTCCCAAACCTGGCCCTTCGGTCTCACAAGATTTCTATAGTCAACAAGGCTCCAATGAAAGTTCAACGACATATGGGGGTCAAGAATGGGTACCCAAAAGGCCCAAAATCGATCCCTGGATAATGGAACCAAGGACTAAAATATCTGGTTGGTGATCTAATTTTGACCCATAGCCATATAAGGTGGATTGGGATGGGGAGAGTCCCTGTCTGAACGAGCAGTTGGCAGGTGGTGGCCTCTTAGACATTTTCCTTTTCTGCCGCACCCCGCCTTTTTTTCCCAGTGGCTTCCCACACATGCTTGCTAGACACTGACTTCTCGTATTGTGATGGGGATGCACCTCTAGGAGCTGTCATCTGGAGATGCTGTCATCTGGAGTCCTGATGCAGAGACTGTGAGATTCTAGTTGGTGGATATCAAATCGTTATTCGTGTCTGTTTCACAAATGCTACAGGATGAAACCCATGTCTAGCAAATGCTGGATTCGCACCCCCTTCTGGTCAAATCAGCTCCATCGCCTTTTCACACTTTGCGTTTGACCATCTGATGTCGGACGAGCACCACTTGGGTTTGGGTGTCAGCACCCACTTTGTGGAATGACACATCAAAAGCTCACATAAGTTCACTGCCTTGCCTTGGAAACCATCTGAGAATCAACACCTGAAATCTCTGAAAGTCCGTCTCGATGGTCTTCCAGCCGCTCACTTCAATTGACTCTCAGAGATGTTTCAAGTGCCAAGGCCGAAGTATGAGAAGATTGGCAACCGAAGCCACATCCTCTCAAGGAACTCCACCAATTTGGGGGTTCAACTGCTTGCGATAAGATGTGGACCTCTGAGCTGAACAGCTTCAAACTAGGAACAACTTCTGAAAAGAAAAAAGAGCCTGCGCCAGTCCGCTCCAGCGTGTCTCACATGCTGATCTCCGAGGCATGGCCGAAAAAAGGCATCCGCCTTGTTCTCCACAAGGCCGAGCCAAGGCCACTTGCTTCGCAACTGGCCCACACCATCAACGGGAGAGAAAAAGCGCTTGTCTCGGACTATCATGCCGCTCCCAAGTCCAGTGTATGGATTCTGGCATGGCGTGACCGAAGGGACTTGAGCCCCCGGCACCTGAAATTCATGCACTAGATCGAAATCGGGCTGCCAAGATCCTGCGAATGTTGGTTCGCCAAAGACATCTGAAAAATTGGCTCTGGGTCAAAAAAGTGTACCCAAAATGGAACCCTGGTAAGTGGAAACATGGACTAAACTCTACAGTCCCCTGGTGGTTTGATTTTTGACCCATACCCAAGTCAGGTTGACAGTTTTGCGCTCATGCGGCTCCCCGTTGCTCACAGTTTCCGCTCTAGACCTCCACTCTTTGAGTCGGGGAGGCTATCTCCTGAGCTTGGGCATCGAGACAGCGACCTGAGTTGGACTTCCGAGCTGTGAGCGATTTGGGGCGCCGCACCGCCCTTTTCCCCGAACCTCTGATGTTTTGACAAGGCATACAAGTATGGCACATGCTCAAAGCTGAGAAAGCCCCGGCACTGAAACCTGAGATCCACACCCACAACTTGCTCAAGGGGATTCAGCCTGCGAGCCAGATGTGCACATGCATATCTGAAACGGACGTCAACTGAGAGCCACGCCGGTCTTCCCGCGAAACGCTGTCCTCCTGCAAATCGCGTTATATGATGCTGTGGTTGTCAAAACCGTTTTGGGATCCCATTTTGGTTGGTTGGTGAATTCACCACCCATTTTAGAACCTATTTTAGTGGTTGGATTGGGATGTTCACCGGGGGCACCCAAAAACCCATATGCAGCACAACGGCCGAGCGGTAGCCCCGAACCTCCAAGGTCATGTCCGATGGAGTGCTTGGAGTGCGCTCGCCTCTCTCACAAGGAAGTGCTGCTTTGCTTGTGGATGAAAAGCAGAGCCACTCATTTTGCAATCCTGACATCTGGAGATCCAGGTATGTCCATTCAGGATTCCTTCACCTATCCTCCACAAGCCCTGCACCTCGAAACTTGCTTTTTTATCTCCGCATCATACAACCCCTTCAGTGGCCCTTGTCCACCCCTCCACCAAACCTGATCCCATCGGAACTTTGCTTTGCTTCCAATGCCGCCAGTCACCCCTCCCCCAGCGCTCGAACCTCGAGGCTCTCTGAGACAAATCCTTGGCACGAATGATATGGCCATGGGTCATATCCTATGCCTCCATTTTGCGGCGGATGAACGCCCATGTACCACCTATCTTTATGTTCACCAGGGGTACAGGGTTTTGACCCACAGCCATATTGATGTGCACACAGATGCGCCAGGCTCGGAATCCGGCCGATGGCAGTGCTGCATGCCACCAATGGGCTTTCTGCACATGGGACAGGTCACCTGACCCAGCAGGAAGCGGAAGGCTTCAGCCCCGTTGGCCCCGTTGCTGCAAGTTGGGGTCTTCGTGGGCAAGCATGTCTTCGACAACACCATTGTGGCATGCCAAAGGCGCCACCCTTCGTCACCTACGCCATGGCGAAATCGCACGCCTCTCGTGACATCCACCGCTCAGCGCAATGGCCATGGAACGTGTGGCCGCAGGGAAGCTGTAGCCTCCGGGCCGAGTCACGTGGGTATGAGTCAACATAAAACCACCAAGGGACCGCTGTTTTAGTCTTTGGTTCCATTTACCAGGGTTCCATCTTGGGTTGCGCATTTTTGACCCACAGCCACATGTCATACGCCATTGCCATTCCGAGGCCCCCCGCAGGCCCGCAATGGCCACCTGATTCATCAGGCCGCAAGTTGAGGACGCTTCTGGAGCTATGGAATGGGACAATTGAAATGAACAATTACCACATGGCCGGGCCTTTGAGCCTGCCTTCGGGCTCACTGCCAATTCGTCCTGAGCAGAGAAGAGGTGACAAACAGCATGCAGGTGAGTGGTGACTTCATACTCTCAACGCACGAAGAAGCAAAAGCTGGAACACGATAGGAAACAGTATGGCTGGTTCCTTCTTGTGGAGCTGACCTGAACAAGTGCGGAATTGTTCACCATCGAGACTCGACCTCTTCCTTGAACCCACAAGGCGACTCGCGAATCCCGGTCCGGCAGGTCCACCAGCTCCTCCAGGCCTCGCATCACAGCGGAAGCAGCGGAAGGGTGAGAAAAAGCTGCAAGGCCCCGGGCAAATCGCGCACTCCCCGGGACACACGGCCTCAGCGTCGGATCGGAGGATCTGCGCTTCGACTCTTGGCCACTTGCGCCTGCGCCTGCGGCCTCTGAGCCAGCGGCCAGGTCATCACAAAGCACGAGCTGTGCGGATGGAGCACCCACGACCTTGCGCCAGACCTGAGGACACATGGACTTGTTTTGCTCCAATGTGTATCAATGATGTGAATGTAATTGCTTGAGCTCATGTGAGCAAATACGTGCAAGCATGCCAGTTTACCAAGGCGTAAAGGTTTGTGCCAGGTCCAGCAAAGGGATTTGCGGCTATCTGTGCAGCATCCATGCCACAAGCGTCGTGGCTAGCCAAGGGAGGTGCTAAACGCTTCCATCTCCTCAGCTCAGCAGCCTCGTTTGCCCAAGCGATCGCGTGCAGGGAAATGATGGCTGGCAACAGCATTCCATGAAACTACGGAGTAGGCTTGCCTCTTCTGCGCTGACTTAACACTAAGTTACCGGCGGACTCTTGATGACTTCGATGATATATGCCCAAAACACTTTAAGTCACACAGCACGGGTGCATGAGAGCGTGCCTCGTGGATGTACAAGTAGTGGACGAGGAAGAACTGCATGCTGATGCCCTGCGATGGCCACGCGTGGTACAATTTGCCTGTTTGCTTGAAGCGGCGCACCATAGCTAAGCCAGCCATCGCAACCACAATGCGCACCAAGTGGTCCAGGATTTCTGCCATGTCATAGACCTCCAAAGACGCATATCTGTGCGAGCGTGCGTGCGTGCGTGCGTGCGTGCGTGCGTGGGTGGGTGGGTGGGTGGGTGGGTGGGTGCGTGCGTCTGTGTCCGTGCAGGCGGGCGCGCGAAACCCTGCCGACGCTGGCCAACTTGTCTGCACACCAAGCAGACAAAACTTTGTGCGCTAACTGATTCCAATCTTCTGACGTTCTTTCCATGGCAGTGAACATGTGTGTGTGTGTGTGCGTGTGCAGGTGTTTGCGTGTGCGTTGGCGTGTTTTTGTTTGCTTCACTGTTTTGGTGTGTGTGTGTGTGTGTGTGTGTGTGTGTGTGTGTGTGTGTGTGTGTGTGTGTGTGTGTGTGTGTGTGTGTGTGTGTGTGTGTGTGTGTGTGTGTGTGTGTGTGTGTGTGTGTGTGTGTGTGTGTGTGTGTGTGTGTGTGTGTGTGTGTGTGTGTGTGTGTGTGTGTGTGTGTGTGTGTGTGTGTGTGTGTGTGTGTGTGTGTGTGTGTGTGTGTGTGTGTGTGTGTGTGTGTGTGTGTGTGTGTGTGTGTGTGTGTGTGTGTGTGTGTGTGTGTGTGTGTGTGTGTGTGTGTGTGTGTGTGTGTGTGTGTGTGTGTGTGTGTGTGTGTGTGTGTGTGTGTGTGTGTGTGTGTGTGTGTGTGTGTGTGTGTGTGTGTGTGTGTGTGTGTGTGTGTGTGTGTGTGTGTGTGTGTGTGTGTGTGTGTGTGTGTGTGTGTGTGTGTGTGTGTGTGTGTGTGTGTGTGTGTGTGTGTGTGTGTGTGTGTGTGTGTGTGTGTGTGTGTGTGTGTGTGTGTGTGTGTGTGTGTGTGTGTGTGTGTGTGTGTGTGTGTGTGTGTGTGTGTGTGTGTGTGTGTGTGTGTGTGTGTGTGTGTGTGTGTGTGTGTTGTGTGTGTGTGTGTGCTTGTGTGTGTGTGTGCTGCTTGTGTGTGTGTGTGTGCTCTTGTGTGTGCTGTGTGTGCTTGTGTGTGCTTGTGTGTGCTTGTGTGTGCTTGTGTGTGCTTGTGTGTGCTTGTGTGTGCTTGTGTGTGCTTGTGTGTGCTTGTGTGTGCTTGTGTGTGCTTGTGTGTGCTTGTGTGTGCTTGTGTGTGCTTGTGTGTGCTTGTGTGTGCTTGTGTGTGCTTGTGTGTGCTTGTGTGTGCTTGTGTGTGCTTGTGTGTGCTTGTGTGTGCTTGTGTGTGCTTGTGTGTGCTTGTGTGTGCTTGTGTGTGCTTTTGTTTGTGTGCTTTTGTTTGTGTGCTTTTGTTTGTGTGCTTTTGTTTGTGTGCTTTTGTTTGTGTGCTTTTGTTTGTGTGCTTTTGTTTGTGTGCTTTTGTTTGTGTGCTTTTGTTTGTGTGCTTTTGTTTGTGTGCTTTTGTTTGTGTGCTTTTGTTTGTGTGCTTTTGTTTGTGTGCTTTTGTTTGTGTGTTTGTGTGCTTTTGTTTGTGTGCTTTTGTTTGTGTGCTTTTGTTTGTGTGCTTTTGTTTGTGTGCTTTTGTTTGTGTGCTTTTGTTTGTGTGCTTTTGTTTGTGCTTTTGTTTGTGTGCTTTTGTTTGAGTGCTTTTGTTTGTGTGCTTTTGTTTGTGTGCTTTTGTTTGTGTGCTTTTGTTTGTGTGCTTTTGTTTGTGTGCTTTTGTTTGTGTGCTTTTGTTTGTGTGCTTTTGTTTGTGTGCTTTTGTTTGTGTGCTTTTGTTTGTGTGCTTTTGTTTGTGTGCTTTTGTTTGTGTGCTTTTGTTTGTGTGCTTTTGTTTGTGTGCTTTTGTGTGCTTTTGCTTGTGTGCTTTTGTTGCTTTGTGTTTTGTTTGTTTGTGTGCTTTTGTTTGTGTGCTTTTGTTTGTGTGCTTTTGTTTGTGTGCTTTTGTTTGTGTGCTTTTGTTTGTGTGCTTTTGTTTGTGTGCTTTTGTTTGTGTGCTTTTGTGTGTGTGCTTTTGTGTGTGTGCTTTTGTTTGTGTGCTTTTGTTTGTGTGCTTTTGTTTGTGTGCTTTTGTGTGTGTGTGCTTTTGTTTGTGTGCTTTTGTGTGCTTTTGTGTGCTTTTGTGTGCTTTTGTGTGCTTTTGTGTGCTTTTGTGTGCTTTTGTGTGCTTTTGTGTGCTTTTGTGTGCTTTTGTGTGCTTTTGTGTGCTTTTGTGTGCTTTTGTGTGCTTTTGTGTGCTTTTGTGTGTGTGCTTTTGTGTGCTTTTGTGTGTGTGCTTTTGTGTGCTTTTGTGTGCTTTTGTGTGCTTTTGTGTGCTTTTGTGTGCTTTTGTGTGCTTTTGTGTGCTTTTGTGTGCTTTTGTGTGCTTTTGTGCTTTTGTGTGCTTTTGTGTGCTTTTGTGTGCTTTTGTGTGCTTTTGTGTGCTTTTGTGTGCTTTTGTGTGCTTTTGTGTGCTTTTGTGTGCTTTTGTGTGCTTTTGTGTGCTTTTGTGTGCTTTTGTGTGCTTTTGTGTGTGTGTGTGTGTGTGTCTCTGTGTCTGGGTGTCACTGTGTCTCTGCGTGCGCGTCCATGTGCGCGGGTGTGTGTGTGTGTGTGTGCGCGTGCGTCTGCGTGGCGTCTGCGCGCGTGTCCGCGTGTGTTTGAGCGCTTGTGCCTCTGCGCGCGCCGGTGCTTTTGTGTGTGTGTGTGTGGGTGGTGTGTGGGTGGTGTGTGGGTGTGTGCCTTTGTGCGTCTGCGCGCACGCGTTTGCACGTTTGTGCGTTTACTCGCTGGAAAGTCGCACCAAGGGCGCGCAAACAAGACTCTATTACACGGGACAAGTAGACAACACTCATGCCTGACTGGATTTAACCTACCACTTTGATGGTAAACAGCAAATGGACCAGCAAAGCCTCGCAAACAGGAATCGCTCATGCTCACTGAAGAACAGAGTCTTAGATCATCTTACCCCACATCTCCGACAACTGTTTGTAGGGCTCTGATACTTCATCTCAGCGTCAGTGGCTTCGGCCCATCCGTCGTGACACAATACCCACAGGCATGGGCACTGCTTCGCTTGCCCCCCGCCTTGCTGCGGGGGTAGCCCAAATTTATCAATCACTTGCATGTTTCACAAGGGAGAATGAAAAACAACCTTCAACTCTTCTGTCTGAAGGCGGGGTCACGCGCAAGGCTCTCTGGTTGGCCAAGGATTCCGCTCAAGCCGTTTGGCGCTCGTTCATTGGGCCATCCAGAATAAGTTTCAGTTGTAAGTGAACTCGCAAAAAAGCAAGCCATCTAGAAAAGCAGCTGCAAGCAAAACAAGAAAGGAACCCTCACTGCATGCTCATCCACCTTGGAAAAGCACCCGCCAACATGCCATCACCACTCGGGAAAGATATCATCAGCGCGCAGCACCCCCTGCCAAACCGAATTGCGTCCACCAACATCTGCGCTAGCACCTCAAACCGCCTGATGCCAGGACCCAGATTCCGATTTCGGGGAGCTTCACAAGAAGTAAGAAATGTTCAGCGCCCTGAAGAAACAAACTTACATCAGCACCCAACTACGAAAATGCGCAAAATTCGCTCGCACTTTCAATTTGCTTCGGCATCCCAACATTTGCAATCATCCCCACCACATCGGGGAAATTGAAACATGACCAGCCGCCTCTGAAACTAAAGCCACCTCGTCGCTGTGGGTGGAGGCAGCCTATCCTGAAGCCACCTGCTGGCTTCGGGCCAATCCCTACAGCTCCTCCAGTCCCCAGCCCTCTTCTGCTTTGCTGTCGCGGCCAAGCTCAAGCTTCGTCCTGAGCCTGTCACCCTCCTTGGCCACCCCGCGCCAAGCACTTAGCGCTGCAACCCATCAGACTGCTCAGCCCCAGCCCCGGCATCATTTGCAGCAGTCCTTCCAACTGGATTCGTGGGCCTCCAAGGAGAACTTACTCCTTTTGGCGGGGAGTCTTGTTCTTGTTGCGTTAAGGTAGTCTTCAAAGGGAAAATAATCCTGATTCTTCAGTTGCTGCACAGCTGAGCCGCCGCAGCAAGCCAATAGCACAGTCTCAAGTGCCAAACTTGCGGAGAAGTGCCTGCTCTTCAAAGGACTGGTCGATGAAAATGATGATGCCATTCACCTGGGCTGAGCCGAACTTGAAATGGCTGACACATGAGGTGCCAAGACTGCTGCCAGCATGGAGAGCAGAGTGGACCAAATGAGGTTCGTCGTTGGCATGATGAGCCAAAATCTCTGCCTGGTGAGGCAGTCATTTCACTCTTACACACCTAGGCTCCACACAGCTTCGAGGACGTGACTTGTTCTCAACCCTTCGAGTGCAAAGGTCTCACCTGGTACACCGGAAAGGGATGTACAATCCCGCGAAGGACGTCATCAGAGTCATGACCATCACAATCTGGCGAGCATGCATGCCGTCAAACACTAGCACCACACACAGGCATCTCAAACTTCTCAAAGCAAGCCGGGGATCACGGCGAACAAATAGTGGGGTAGCATGACGAACAAGAGCCACCTGAGTCGAGCTCCGCCAAACAAATATCTCCTGGGCCACTTGGCAAATTTGCGCGAGCGCCAGGCGAGGAGATGCCGGCCGCCGAGCTGGCTGCACAAAGACTGAAGGTCAATGTGCAGTTCATATGGCCCGCCAGAAAAATGGCCCGCGGAAAACTGCCTCACTTGTGAGGCGTTCCGGATGCATGAATCAATGTCTAGTGATCTAGTGGTCTTGCCAACTGCCTCACAACAAAGAAGAAGCAAATGCGACGCATGTGTGTGACAACTTGCCCTGCAGAGTCGAATGAAAACTAAAAATAAACGTCATCTGCCAAGCTCGAGCCGACAAAACAAAAAAGCCGCGAGTGCTGGTCTGATGTTCTAAACTGTGTGGATATGCTACTGCCCCTCTCTTTGCCGGCCAATTCATTCAAATACAGTGAGTAGACATCACCCCAACGTTGCTCTAAATGCACTGGTGACGCATCGAAAACACCTCTAGGTGAGGTAACATGAGCATCTACAGGTGTGGCAAGCTCCAAAAGGCTCTGACATGGCTGAGCGTTCGCTCTTTGCTCGAAAGCTGGATATCATGGAGCTGACAAGTGCCGTAAAACCAACACAGTCTACTGACTCTTGCTCTTGGGCAACATTGGTAGCAAATGAGAAACAAACACTGTGATTTGGCTGGAAAACTATTAAATTGGTCACGCAAACGTCCTTGTTCCAATCAAATCTGGGCCGAGGACAGGGTCCGAAAGCAAATAATGCAAACTGTCCACGCGCAAACCTGCACTTTCGTTTCCTCCATCTGCTGTGCACTTGTGCGTGCGTCGGGATATGTACACCATGGCAATGCGGTTCTGTGATGCCCGAGTCATTCAAAAAAGCCTAGTGCAGCAATGGGATCGCAAGCTTGCCTTCCCAGTACAGGCAGTTGCATATGCTGATCGCACAAACGGATAGATACCCAAAAAAGTGCGCCAAGAGGTGCAGTCAACCAATCCGTCCACCCAGGCCACGTCCAAAGCCTGATGCCTCAACGAAGTGATGGGCTAAAGGTTAAAGGCAGTGGATGGCAAAGCCAGCTGGCTCGTGATCAAACGTGACAAGCCACCATGGAAAGTGCTGCTTGATGCTCTCCATGACATTGTTGGGTGCTTGTATACCACTCTGTCCGTGTCTGAGAATTGCCTCATGCAAGTCAACAAGCAACTAGAGAAGCAGAGCGGCGTGGGCAACAATACACATGGCCCAATCTGCCAACAGTTTGCAAAAATATACATGAACATGCAGATGACTGAGCTCAGAAGAAGCATGTCAGCACTTTAAAGTCAGATCGGGACAGCAAGAAGGGCTGTGTTTCTATCATGTCAACCTGACTTTGCTTGCAGATTGAAGCGAAGCAATCTGATAACATAGGCAGCGCTCAGGCAACATCTGACATACATTGCCAGGAGAAACAACATTCTCCCAGACTACTCCTGAATACTGCACGTCCCAGGAGTCGCCAATTCACCGATTGTCGGTGAGTCACTTTGGAGCGCTCACAACACGACGTCAAACAGATAGGAAGCGAGGCCGAAACCTGCCAGGACTTGGCTCAAAAATGGGTACCCAAAAGGCCCCAAATTGGTGGAACCCCTGGGTGGAGCCAAGGACTAAAATCTGCGGTCCATCTCCTCTAGTTTTGATCCATTGCCGAGGCTCCGGCGCAGCAGGAAGCACAGCAAGGAGCTCACGACTTGGATGCCCAGAAGTCGACAGCAAAGCCTCGGTTTCAAACCCATCTCTCGAACTCTGACAGCAGCGAGATCCGAGCACATCTTCTCTGCAGGGTCCAAAGACGTACAGCACCAGGTTTATGAGTGTCAGATTGCTCATACGCACTGTCCTGAGCAAAAACAGGAAGCGCGCGAGGCCGTGATGTCCGTATGCCCCAAGTGTCAGACCCTTCTGCAACAGGTTGCACACAAACCAACCTCAAGCTCTTCAAGATCACGTAGGCCATCTTGCCGAGCCTCGACATCGTCAGAGTCGAAGTACCGGTTTTTGACGTAATGTTAACCCAGGATTCCTAAACTGGTTGACTAATAAGGGGGGTGTCCAATTCCTTTTAGTGGAAATTCAGACCACTTTTGGAGGGAACACCCCCCTTAATAGTGTGGGACAGGTACTCAGATCCTTCCCCTTTCAGTAGATGATTCAGACCACTTTTGGAGGGAACACCCCGCTTATGGTGTGGATGGGTACTCAGATCCCCTTTAGTGGAGATTCAGACCACTTTTGCAGGGAACACCCCCCTTAAAAAATGTGGAGATTCAGACCACCCGAGGCGTTCCCTCCAAAAGGATCTGAGTTTCGGTGTTCCCTCCAAAGGTGGTCTGAATCTCCACTAAAAGGGGAAGGATCTGAGTACGGGTGTTCCCTCCAAAAGTCTTCCCCTTGAGGCCACTTCTGAAGGGAACACCCCCCCCCGAAAAGGGGGGGACGGGTACTCAGGGTCAACATTCCCGAGGCAGCGGCGGCTTCAGCTCCGCCGGCTTGAACTCCGCGAAGCTGTTGCACACCGTTCCGTCTGAGCCATTGAACGCCTCCCGGTGAGAAAAAGAAAGTCACGAGCTTTGGAAGCAACTCGCTTCGAACTGGGGGATTCAACTCCTAACATGGGACTGTTGCACCTGCTAACCTCAAGGTCAGGGCCAAGCTTCTTTGGTTTTATGTTTGTTGCCCGATTTCTCGCTGGAAAATGAAGGTTCGGTATCTCTCGCGATAGTGTGTGGGCTCACAAGCTTCGCCGCTGCTCCCTTTCAACTTCCGCTGACGAATCTCATATCCAAGGCTAGGACGGGCATCCGGTGTCGCGGGCAGGGGATGCCGATGAACGGAAACAACCTGATGGAATTCGGCGCTATGCTCTGCCAATGCGAATGCCCAAAAGCATACCGCGATTCTGCAGGTGCTCACCTCTTCGCAGTCTGAGTTCTGAACTGAGGACAAGAATATAAGAAATTGAAGATTTGCGGAAGCCTTGTCATAGGCATGTCAAGCACTAAGCCGAATCACAAGTACATTCAGACTTGAACAAACGCTCAGAAAGAAAGGTATGCTAGCGTACGTAATCTGTCATGTCAGAGTCTGTGCAATAATTCCAAGCGAGCTATAGAAAACGCAGCGGCCGGCACCCTTAAGATTCCTCTTCTTCATCCACGCGGTAGGTTCAGGGCAAGAAGAGCACCATGGTTTTGCTGAAATGGCCAATGATGCAGACCACTGCAAAGGTCATTCCTGGCCATGAATCTTGGTCGAAGTGAGCCGCTCTGCCGTCTTTGAGCCTGCGAAGTAGCAGTAGGTGTCGCCCACAAACACCTTTGCAGGAAACCAGTTCTGCTGGAGCCTCGGGCCACCCCCATCGACTGTCTTTTGGAGCGTCCTTGAGTGCGGAGCAAAGACATGCTCACTGCCAAGAAGGGCATCAACAAGAAGATCGACTGCACCTGTGCCGAAAGATCTTGCAACTTGCCACCGCAACCATTGCGCACGCAAATCATGGCGCATTGCCAAGATTGCCCAGACTCTCATGCGAGGTCCTGACATGACTCTCGCGGTACTCCTTAAACTGCTCCTGGCTGCGAAAAAGCGCCAGAAAGCCACATAGCGCAGCTTGTGGCCATATGCGACGCATAGTGAGTCGCTGGCGGGAATCCGATGAAGTTGAAGGATGTTCAGAGCTAGAACTGACCTGCACTCCATGCAGCACAAGCAAGAGCTGTTAGCTTTCCCACTGAATTGTCAGAGTCTTGCTGACGACATGCCGGGCCGACGAAGCGATGACCACGGACTGGCCTTGCAAGAGGGGCATGCATCTCTGGACGCATCTCTCACGTTTCATTGCTGGAATCATTGACAAGAACAGAACGCTGTCCAAGCGCCATGCCAACTTCTAAGCCATTGACTCCTGCATGCGGTACGCCAAAAAATTATTGTCCCCGCAAACTCTTGACGAATTCGTAAGGCCAAGACCTGCATAAATGTTGATGGCATGCGTGGAGAAAACTGACAGACACAAGAGAAAGACGTAGAAGCCCAAGCCTGCCAGAAACTCAGAAAACTGTTCTCTTGGAACATAGAAACAACACACAAGACGAAAGCAATCGAACTTGGCCTAAATCAACTACCTCACCAAATAGCCAGCGAAGCTGATTTGGAACCTTGCACTAAGTCTGGTGGCCCTTGCAAGTTGCCATCCAAGGCTTGCTTCACTCAATCTTCTCAGGCCCTTGCCATCACTCCAGTCCTTGCACAAGCCAAAATGCTTGCAGCAAAGTCGCACGACAAGATTGCGGCGCATTGCCATTGGCATAGTACACGGACAGCAACGGCAGTGTGGCCTGAGCACAAAGCAGACGATTGTTCCCCAAAGGAAACCGATTCTGTTGCTGCTATCATCCTGGCCAAGAAAGGAAGCGGGATCTTGTACCGCCATCGCAGGTCTAGCACCTTCGAGACGAGATGCACTGCAAGAAAACAACGCACACCGCATATGGACAAGACCTCTAAGGACAGAACATCATCCGCAAATCCCATGAAAGAGGCAAATGTTATGGTCAGCACCTGGAGTGCAGACAGGGCAAGCAAGATGTCCTCATTAGGCCCGCGGAAAAGACAAAATATATCTGTTGCTGTCCAGCCCTAACGTGTTCTAAACGTAGCATCCTGGTGTTCAATTGAGTGGCTCGGCTGAGGCAAGAGCAGCTGCCAAATACTCCGACATGTCAGCCTCCATTGAAGAAATACAAGAGAACATATTTGCATGTAGACTCTGTAGTCGTGCGTTTTTTCGTTTTTGCCTCAGGGCCAGCAGGGCAAGTCTCTTTTTGCACTGCATGTGCCGAAACTGCCAAATGTTCCACAGCCAGGTACAAAGCTGCACTGAAACGGGTTGGGCCAAGTCGAATGCTCAAGGAGCTTGCTTTAATCTCAGTTTCCCCCCCAATCTGGGGACTGATTGTTTGAACATGCTGGGAACCACCTGTGTGACCCCCAATCCGATGACTTACTATTTAACCTGTGTGAATATGCTTTCAGCCAGTGTTCTCGAACCAACCTCCTGGCTTACCCATCAAGAGGGTCTCGCGGGTGTTGAAACCAATCTGGCATCCCGGGGCGCAACAACCCCGGATTGAACCTTTATCTGGTATCTCTGGGGCTAAAAAAATTAAGGTAAAGCTGAAGAGAGTTGCTGATCCAAAAACATCTGATGCCCTGAAACCTGCTGCCAAGCCGAACCATCCAGTTGAAATCTTGCGCAAGACAGGCCGCCGCGGGAGAGACGCTTTCGAGCATCTTTGAATGGTGTGATCCACAGGCTACAAGCAAACGAAAGGCAAGCTGAACGCGTAAGACAAAAGGCTTGCTCCTGTGGGATACGAGATCAACACAAGATTGGCCTGGTTGACAAGACACACAAGAGGGTCAAGAAAGACAAGACATACAATAGACTTCTATCCCACCCCCAAAAGCCCCAACAGCAAAAAGGAACAATGTGAGTCTCGCGTAAGCGCAAGGCATGCGGAAAGCGCTCCAAGTCGTAGGAAGCAAACCTGTGCGTATGGATGTGGCCACATCACATGTAAGAAATTGAGAAGCTCACGCAAATGGGATGAAGACGGACAAAACAAGGATGTACACCGCAGCACATACCTCGTCAATGCGTCATGCATCAAAAAATATTGCTTGACACCTCTGAGGGGACGACTGTTCCTTGAGACTCTGGGATGGCAATCCCCTCACGCGGCACTTTGGAACATCAGCGTTGGATTCCTTCTGCCCACTGCCTCTATGGGCCGTAAGAGGTTGCCATCCGCGTCGCGCTTGGTGGTCCTCGTACAAATCGCACAAATCCCTATGTCTTAGGCGCTGAAGCAGAGATTCAAAAAGCCCAACTATTGGAGGCTTGCCTCAACTCCCTTCCGTAGACATGCAAGCATGCACACCCACATACACTCACAGACACAAACACAAACACGGGCGTGCAATAACTTCATAGCAGTCCTCTTATTGAGATCGATTCCACGCAAATTTGCTTTTATAAAGGTTGGCCCAAGTGCTGTCACAATGGAAGAGGTGGCCACCTGGGATCGATCTAACTCAACCAAGCCTTCACACATCTCCGCATGAACCAATCTGACAAAGTAAACCCCCTCGGCATCATGCATATCCCACGGCTGAAAGGCCAACCTGGGCAGCGACCACGGCGCTGCATAATGCCATTCATCTCTCTGCAGTGTTGAGACCCGCCATTCATCTCTCTGCAGTGTTGAGACCCCCACGTTCACTGCCAAGGGAAACCGCAGGCTTGATGGCAAGGATTGAACTACCAGCGCAATTGCCTTATGAGATTCATGCAGGAAACGTGCAATGCATGCTGGACATGAGTCGGTAAGGACAGCACCGGGGCTGCAAGCAGCACAGCAAAGCTAGACCTTTTCAAGTCTGTGCTGACCGTGCCGGGACCACAGTGCCCGCCTTTGGCTCAACATATCTTGCAGCATCGGCATGAGATCATCAAATGCCAACGGGCATGTGAATGGATGGCTGCCTGCCTCTGATTGTGCAACAGTGTCAACATAAGCACATGACTGCGTGCGTCACATTGCAATCTTGCTCAAGCTGGGTTGCCCAAGTTTCAGTGTCCTTCAGATGGGAAGGAAATGCATTGCACTGATTATTTCCAATTTCCTTCTTGCATTGCCATGCTTGCCAATCTCATTTGTTGCTCTGTAAAATCCACCAACGCCCTCTGCAGGGCTGGAGCCACATGCATCAATCCCATCCCATGCTTGATCAATATTGCGAAACTCGCAGCTCAAAGGTATAAGTTCATTTCCACAAAGTCAACACACATGCGTGTGTGTGCGTAATTACATGTGCATAAGACGCTTCGCATCAGAACCAATGCATGCAATGTCTGAACATTGCGGTGAACCTTGCTGCTGATAAATCCATTCCCACAACAAGAGGAACCGAAAACATACCTTTGCCCAAATGTTTTGGGACAATCACCTTGCAATTCGTCATGACAACACAACTAGATCATGATCCATGAGGCTGGGGATCAAACAGACTTGTGAGAGGGATGAGATTGGCTTGTTCACTTGCCAAAGCATCAAACCAACTTGTGAGGGTTCAGATTGACTTGTGAGGGGGGTCAGATTGGCTTGCGGGGAATCAGATTGGCTGAGCCGGCCATCGCGAAATTACAACAGTCGCTGCAAATCTGTATCTGCCTGGGGGCCTCAACAACATGTTGCCTTAAAAGAAATACTATGCGCGACACAAGCCACTCCCACGACTATTTTCCTGGCACACACACACACACACACGTGCACACACAGACATCCTCTGGCTCGCTTGCGCGACGCGCCGTCAAGGACAGGTTTGCTTTCAGGCAGAGCTAGTTTTGCGTGATCTTTCAAAGTAGTCACGTGTCTACTTCACCACGCCCGTGCAAAGAGTCCAGAAAATGGTTTTGACGCTATCGAGTACGACCTTCGACACACGCTGATGTACTTCTCACAAGAGGATGTGATTCTGCCAGCAATGCCAGCTGTGTTCGAGGAAAGAGCAAGCGCTCGCACTGCTTGCTCAAAGAGAAGAAGCGACAACCCCCTGCACTGCGTCGGAGTCGCCACACTCAGCGTGGCAGCGTCACCTTGCCGGGCTTGGATGCAGGCGCTGTACTGGACAAATGGAGTCTGAGCAGAGGTAGAGAAGTGTGCTTCCGCAGTTGTCGATGTGCAAGCGTTAGATTCCGCACTTTCATTGCCGCTTCCAGTCAGATCAGTTTTTTTGCAGCGGTTCTGCATCTGCTTCTGCTTCAAGTGAAACCAGTTGTCGAATCAGACGCGCAGGCGAGCTGAAAAAAACCGACCCCACCCTACACAACCGTGTGCAGTTGACAAATTCTTCCTTCTGCGGCAAAAGATCCACTGCAAAACAAAACTTTGGTTCGCGCAAGCAACAGAAAAACGCATTGCTTCAAAATCAGCCCCAAACAGCGAAAACAGCGGCCAAGCACAGAGACATTTCTCCAAGCATTCAGACACTTGCGACCGACCACGAGAAAAGCCTGCGCGCGTGGAACCACAGAAAACAATGCACCGCAACAAGCCAAAAACACCTGCAAGCACTCTCTAAGCAATCGGCGGTATCGAAACGAAACAGCAAAGCCGCGACGTGTTGCTAATTCAAAACACAGGCGAGACACAGCGTATTCTCAGTTCTGGATCTCGCTGTCCGGCGCCGCGATGCTTGCGCAAAAGAACCAGAAGGACTCGGGAGCTGGTTTGAGGCTTTTAGCAGGTCAAGGCGTGTGGGTGTATCTTGGAAAATGTTTTGCAAGAACATGCCATGCTTCAAAAAGTGAACAACTTTCAACACCTCGTTTTCTCTTTCTAATGAAGACGCAAAGCAGTGCATTGGCCGAAAAAAACACATGTGGCCCCACCGCTGCCGCACAATGCGATAACTTTCAAAAACACATTTCGCAAATACGACGCCGCCGCATTTGCTGACTTGGCTCAAAATTGCTTTCGCTGTCTTTAAAGTTTCTTCTTGAACCTCATTCGCAACTTTGAAAAAGTCTTCAGAATCTCAGGCATTGCTCGAGTGAAAAAAACGAACGTCTAGAAGGAAAGCAAATTCGACCTTTGTACAAGCCAACAAAAAATATGGCCACCAACAAACAAGTCAATCTGATGCTCGTACCCCGAAAAACTCGGACAAGGCAATCTGACCCCTTCCACAAGCCAATCTAGTGCTCACAAACGAATCTCATACTCCACACAAACCAATCTGGTCTGAAACGAACAGCCGAATCTGATCCTTCACAAGTCTGATTGATGCCTTGCCAGCATCACAGGCACCTCACAACCCAAACTCATAAGCAGCAAAGCGCACTTAAGGCTGTGAAGAGTGAATGCATCTGCTTCAGCTCGAGCGACCAGCTGCCCTTCGGGTCGCCAAGGCAATTGGATGGCCCATCGAAGGCAGACCAAGGCTTGCAGGTAGAACATTGGGAGTGAAACGCTGCAAGCTTTAGCTTCAAGTACACGGCAGAATGACCGGCTGAAACCATCTCCCTATTCTGTCTGAGCATCCAAGGCCTGACTGAGCAGGGCGAGCCACGTAACTAGCCATGAAGAACCGACGTCAATGCCCTGGAAACCGAAAGGCAGACATGCAAAAGGTTGTCCCTGGCTGGTTGTCTTAGTTGCCCAGCAAAGGCCCCTGAGTGCTTGTGCTGAGAGCGACAGCGCCGAAGGCTTGAATCGTTGAATGTCCCCAAATCTAATGCTACAATGTGCGCACAACAGGAAGGCGCCAAGCAGGAGTCCAACGGCTGGGGTGCACGAGGGCGAAACTATGTGGGTTTCCCAGGCCGCTAAAATAACCAAAGACAATGTCAGCTCCCCTCGCCTGTCGTGAGGCAATGGGTTGTAGGTCAAGGCTTTGACAAGAGGGTTGCCCATCAGCTCCACGAGCTTTGGTATTTGGCCGATGCGGGCCAGCCGAAAGCTTTGAACATCAAGACCGGGCTGCACTTGAGAGCTGCTCTGTCCTCCTTTTGAGAGGCATGACAGCCCGCTATGAAGTCTGAAAGGTGTGCAAACGTCAAGCGGCGAAGGCTGCCCACACACTGATCGATGAATGGGATTGCGAAAGAGTGCTTGCTGAAAATTTCCGTAAGGACGTCTCAACAAGGATCTGCGGCTGCAAAGAAGTCTCAAGAGCTTTTGCCAGCAGGCTGCAGTCGCCGTAAGATTTTGGGACTGGGTCCACTCTGGCAGCAAGGCTGCCAGATCCACTGGGTTTGGGCATAGTTGGTCTGGCACTGAACACACGGCGCCAGTGCGGCACAGGGCCTACGGCGTTGCAGGCAGGGAAAGTATTCGGCGAACTGCTTTCCTGCGTAGTGCGAACATGCTGGGCCTGCACAGCGGTTTGGGTAATGGGCAGGCTGAGGGGCATGTCCATGATGTGGTTGAGAGACATTCCGGTATCGGGAGGTCTGGGGCCTGAGTTGCCAACGAAGGGCGAGGTTTTGGACACATCACTGGTCTGCCGGTAAGTTTTACCTTCAAGTCAGTCACTCACACAAGGCTGGGATAAGGCTCTGCGCAGGCATCGATATGCCATTAGGACCCAAAGTCCTGGAGCATAAGGGCAAATCGATACACCACCCTTCAGACTTGCACCAGGTCATCCCGAGCCATAATGCCACTGAGTCCGCATCGCGGATCCCTCAGCAGAACATACTCGTATCTCCGGCGCTCGCCGACGCATCTCTTTCCTTTTGGGGAAATAATGTCAGTTTTATTGTTTTGAATAAGTATGCCAAAGGTGAGTGCCTTACCCGCACAGCCATTTTCGGACATGACGGACGAGAAAAGTCGCTTCAGTCAATCCCCAGCCCAACCTTCCCTTACAAAGATGCAGCTTCCGCGAGATGGTGGAAAAGAAAAACATCAGACGGACGATCAAACCTCCATGAAAGGGTGAAAGTGCAGGCCAACGAAGCCGCATCAAGGGTTTGCAACCGGCAAGAAAGTAGTATGTAAAGGGGGCTTTTACCCAGATAAAAAAAAAAAAAAAAAAAAAAAAAAAAAAAAAAAAAAAAAAAAAAAAAAAAAAAAAAAAACGGGTTTTGGGGCGATGTACGGCACTTTTTTGGGCAGAAGCGCGAGAGGCTGCGAGAGTGTGTTTTAGAGCGGTTCCGCCGATTCGAAAATGGGGCTTCTGGTCCACACATAGGTGAGAATTTTTCGAAGTTCATCGCCGAGGGGCGAGAATTTTCGCCAGGAGCCTCGTTTTGAGGCGATGAAATCTGGGAAAGGGAGCGATGAACTTCGGGAGGTTGGGTTTGGGGCCGATCTACGTCTTTTTGGGCAGAAGCGCGAGAGGCTGCGAGAGTGTGTTTTAGAGGGGGCTTCTGGTCCACACCTAGTAATTTCATCGCCCCGGAAAAACGGCTTGTTTTTGGGCAGAAGCGCAAGTTCATCGCCTCACTTCTGCCACTGCCGGGCCACTGCCGGGCCTCGGCTGCCAGGCCACTGCCGGGCCTCGGCTGCCAGGCCACTGCCGCCATTGCCGGGCCATCACCGGGCCACTGCCGGGCCACTGCCGGGCCACTGCCAGGCCACTGCTGAGAGAGGCCTGAGCTGAAGTCCCGACTGCGGCAAAACTCACAGAGGTCGCCCACGGTCCGTGTCACCTCGTGACACAAACTATCGTAATCTTCCAAGCTGAAGTGAGTCCTCCGACGCCTCAATAACCGCACGTATTCCGCAGTGTTAAAGGTCCCGCACACTGCTCCTAGCCTCAAACCACAAAGAACCCGGAACCCAAAAGCCGACAGCAAGGCGCACACCTTTTTACCGGGTTGCTTGGGAAGGTGGCACTTTCCTAGGGCACTGCGGTGCACCTAGGACAAGGGGCGAGATGTTCCCCCCCCTTGCGGAAAACAAGGTTGCAAGACAAGCGTGTCCTTGCATTAAAATGCCACACGGGGGGCGTGGCAAGCGTGCCCACGCCC